TCTGTTTATCTTTTTGTGTACATTTGCCTCTGAATAGAGACTCTGATGACAGTCCAAGAGCGTGTGAAACAGTTCCACTCTTCGCCTTTTCCCTCACATTCAGCAACAGGCATCAGTTCCAGTTAGCTTCACAGGGTATTCCAGTGTTTGCAAATCAAAATATTGGTTCAAGGAAAAAAACAACATTCCACTGATGCACACAACCATATTCTTGGCATGAAGCTGCTGAGTGTGTGCTTCTCCCTCAGACATCTCTGTTAAGCAACAAATGTCAACTGTAAAAGAGGCTGAAGGTTTCTAACACCTCCTCGGTCTGCAGCACAACTTTGATCTCTAATTAAAGGACAGTTCTGGGGTAAAGAAACCATATTTTACCACTTTTTCAAATGGCTCAACACTGCTGCATGTCACTGCTTGCAAAAAGCCCAAAGCACTACAAACTGAAAACTCACAGTAATTGTCCTCAGTCTATCTGCAGATAGGAGGAAAACCAGAAAGCACCACCTCAAGTTTCCTTCAAGGTCATAAGCACCAGCACTAAAAGCACATAGTCATCTTCACTCTCATCTTCTAAGTCTGAGGAAAAGAAAATCCCAAGCACCACCTAGAACTCATCAGAAGACCTACAGAAACTGCTCATGTCACATAAGTTTCCAGGGGAACATTTTAAAATATTCCCCTGGAATCCAAAATACACTGACTACATAGACTGAGCAGAAGAGGGAAAAGAAAGTGAGGTTGATTGTGCATATTTCATAACAGTAGAAATTCTTACACTATTTGTACATTTCTGCTCTCCTGACATATTCTCTGGACAGATACATATTTACTAGTTTTTTCTTAAACATATTTAGTCCCTCATTTAAAATTTTTAAGCCTTCTTCTTTCTGTGAAGGGAGCATGATGACAGTATGCACACTGAGCCACAGAATAACTGCACCCAGGCAGCTTGCAAAGAGCAAGCCTGGTCCAGCCTTTACATTTTGGCTCCCTCTTCTGGAAAGAAGTAAAAAGCCAAACAGCACTACTAAAGATGCCTTCCTCCTGTGAAACGCTGAGTGCAACAGAGTTTTCAGCTTCCATTTGTAAGACACAAATCTCAAACTTCTACACTGCTTTTAGGAGCAGCTGCTACTTTTTGCTTGATCAGATTGCTAGAATCAGACACTTCTGACAGATGAGGAGTACAATCAGTAACATCAATTGATTTATGATCTATCAACTGTGCTGCTAATGTACAAAATGCTACGGAGATATAGCAGTACCTGCAAGAGAAGGGCTCAATTCAGTGGTATTCAGCATTTTCTAACACTAACATTAACCTGAGGCCACAGGCCATCAGAGTTAAATGCTGAACAACAAGAGGCAACTCTGAGTAACTTGCCACTAAATGTGAGCAGGAACCATAAATAACTCAAAGTTCAATTTCCCAGCACTGTTACCTATTGAACAGCAAGTAAATTTTCTAATTGGGTAAAAAAAAAAACAAACAAAGGCTTCAAGTATGGTAATAATATAGTCACTATTAAAGGCAGCTTATATCATCTGCAAAACTGTTGACAATTAGAGAATATAAAATATTAGAGGATGCATGAAGACCAATTTACAATTTTTATCTCAAAACTGGATTTCACCCACACATTATGCTGCTCTTCAGTTGGCATCAAATATTTTACATCTTCTAGTTCACAGTTTGAAGTCAAAATCTGCAGATGACAAACACTAATTTATTTTTGCTCACACAGAAACTATTGAAACAGCTCAAAACATCTATCTATGCTACCCCTGTAACACTTGCTAGTCCTGTTTTTTTTCCAAACAGACTTTGTATCTCAGAGCTTGACACAGCATGGATACATGGTATACTTTTTAATTTCCTCTCTGGGAAAGAAACAATCCTTTTGTTGGCAATTGTATTTTTCACTACTGTCAACACTCGCTGAAAGAACCAGTTCAGGAGTCTATGAGTTCTGTCTGCTCCTTGCAGACTTTAGAATTTGTAGTTCTGCAAATACACTTAAGGCTGTTTTCTCCTCCTGGATTTGCATCCTTACAGTCATGCCTTTGCATTTGTCAAGTGATGCTGAATCTCAAGCAGTATTGAGAAAACCCTCCACAGCTCCTCTTATCTCCAAAATACACAGGATTGTTCTACTCTCTGCCAGTTTTGCTGTTTCATTCTCTATCCCTTAATTTTTTTAGTTGTACAAAGTTCATGGACCCAAACTATTCACTACACAGCCTGCTCATGTGTTCCACTGTTTCCTCATATATTTGCTCACATAAGTGAAAAAGAAAGGCCAGAGTCTTTGTTGCCCAGCGATGACTACATGATACTAGTGGCAACATGGCTCACACATTCAAAGCAGCAGCACAAAATAAAGCAGTGTGAACAAATCAAGTTATTCTCACCTGAAATTAATAATCCACAGGAATAGATCCATTTCTATCCCATGAAAACTCAACTTCTTTAGGATTTCATAGTGACAAGCTCATGTAATTGGGAAGATAATGAGATTATGTCTTTCTTTCCAAGTCCTTACAAAAGGAATTCATGTAAATAGTACAAATTAATATGTGAATGGTTTGAAAAGTTTTAATCAGTAAGATTAATTTACTCAAAGTACTACCTATTTGCCATGCTGCTCATAGAAGCCAAGTATATACACAAAGCTAAGAAAAAACTGAACTTCTGGTAATCAAACACTAAGGCTGCATCATTCCCTTAAAGTACTTAATATTTTTCTAAGAAAAATATTCTAAACCTGTAAAGAAGTCTTTGCATACTTAACATCAAGCTGCTTTTAATTTTTTTTCCTTCCAGACTCCATCTGGTGGTCAAAATAAGAACCAGCTGGGGCGGTTTAAACTGTATTCCTTCAGTATGCACTCACAGACAGCTATATACTACTCCTTTCTACAAAAGTAAGGATATGCTGAAGCCCTTACTTCTGCAGTTAGAACGCCTTCTGTGTAACCCCTTACCCATTTTATCTCAAAAATAGTCCCTCACAAGTATTTAGGAATAATAACATTTGAAAATAAATGCAAAATATTTACAGTTCAGACACTGCCTGAACGTAACTCAGCCTTCCACCCCAGTTTTGGAACCTCAAAGTAAACTAAGCAGCAGACTACTAGAGATTATTTCAGAGATAAACCCAGGGTAGAGATGGCAGTGTGGAAAAGACAAAGTCAAGTGAATTTCACAGTACTCAGTTCATGTAGACGCTTCCAAAGGAAGTAATGGTAAACTTCAAAAGAAAATGAAAAGTGTAACACAAGCTAGGTTAAGGACATAAAGAAAACAGGACATCACAGCTACTGTTCCTGACAAGGTCTGTCCTCATTCCACTCAAATTTATACAAATACTAATGGACTACCAGAATTTCTATGTACTTTGAGCCATGTAAGCTACTACACTGTGGGGGAATAAGTAAAGTCCTCAATCACACAACTGTCGGGTTCGGCTGTCTGTCTCTGCCCCGACATGGGTAGAGTGGTTCTTGGGTGGCACGCGTTTCAAAGGACGAGTCTGGACTCTTCAGCTTTTCGGTCTTCAGGTTGTTTATTGTTTCTTATCTACAAAATTTTCTGTCTGCCCAACAGAGGTCTGATCTGCAAGGCAGCCAAGGCACTCTCTGACCACCCACGGGGCGGTCATGTCTTTTTATACTAAAATCTATGTACACAATATTTACCTTTATTTCCCAATGCTTTTCACCCATGTTAGCAAGTGCACCTTCACCATAAACCAATCCCCAAGTGCCAACATCACCACAGGAGATGGAGGACAAGAAGAAGAAAGAAGAAGGACGAGACACGCCCTGATCCCTCCATCTTGTCTCCATAACCCTCCTGTACCAAAAACTTTAAAGTCTATATCTCACCCTGTAAATGTGTCTCTTTTACACTCTTCACTCTAAGGTGATTCTCATGCCCTCAAATTCTTGTCACTTCTGTGGATGGATCAAAATCAAGCCACCAAACACTCTTGGCAACATTCCAGGATTTCTGAGACCCACAAGGGTTCTCCTGACATCTCTGGACATCGGGAACGATGTGCTGAGATCCCACACACAACCTGCCCAGATTTCTTTGTACAAGGAGTGGAAAAACAAAACAAACTTTCTGTGGCAATCCTCTCATGCCATCCTGAAGTCTCTCTTCCATGAAATTATGCAAGAATTATTATAGGTACCTTTCTGAGAACAGAACAGGTAGAATGGAACATGAGTATACAAGAGAATTCCCATCAGCTCTGCAGAACCACTGCTGAAATACAAGAGAAGAATCAACATCATATTCCAGCACTGGGGATTCAGGCTTGGTTCTGTGGACAAAGCATATGTCTGTCTATCCATTATGCCAACAACAAGTGCTATACCAGACCATTGTTCCTTATTTTTCTATAATTGTACTATAAAAGAAGCAAAACACTGAAACAGCAGCAGTCTCTCACACTATGCCATTTTCAAGTGTCTCCAGTCATGTGCTATTTCCAGGAACAGCATGGAATACACTCTCTTGAAAAGCCATGGACAGTTAACCACATGGTTAACCTTCACCAGCAAGAAGCTATGAAAGGGTAGAGAACAATTTCAGTGAAATCTTCCAAGTCTGACTTGTATTTCTTGGGCACACAGAGATAACAAAGCTTCACCAGGCAAGACTGGCTCCTGAAAGTTTTGTAAAAGGGTGTTCATGCTTTCCTATTACCTGAATTTTAATAGTGAAGATTATAGTCTCCTTTCTCTAACAAGAAGTGAAAGAATCATCAACATAACTCTTTCATTTGCACTTCAATAAGTGCCATCAAATTACTATTTCTGATATTTGCACAAGTTTAGAAACAGCTGAAAGACACCTTGAAGAAAAAAAGCCATTTCTATATGAAAAGCAAGATACTATGACTGTTGCAGAGAGACAAGACAATAGAACAGAAACATTTTCAGGATTGCAGCAGTCAAAGAAATGATTTACACTTTAAGAAGCTCACCTTTGTTGAAAGCACTTTAAACGTACTTTGCTCTGGCACTATAGAATGAAGAAGATCAAGCTTCAAGTTGAAGTCTTCACCTGATGGAAGTCTCACTGATGCATTCATCTATTAAAAGTTGAAAACACATCTCTGGTCATCTTTAACAGCAGCTCCATTTTCAAGTAAAGGACAGTCATTTCATACAGAGATTAAGTGATTAAATTAGTATCGTTTCAGACCATGCCATTACACTACTGCATTATTGGACGAGATGTTTCTAAGAGAGATTAGAAGATGAACAGAAGATTGCAGCCCTTGCTACATGTACTCAAAAACCCTACTATCTTGTCAGCTGGATCTTAAGTCTTTAGGGAAGGAATTATACAACAAATGGAGTATCAACATATTAATAATGGAACATGAAAACAATCTGCAGCTTCTCTTCTAATATAAGCAAATTACAGAACAAGTGCTCAGACTATTTTAACAAACAACCTAAACTAGATAATAATAACCAAGTACTTCTGGTATTTAATGAAGTATCAAGTTAGTTGAGAATAAAATATATTTTGCTGCCACAATTTTAGTGGTGCCAAATGGAAGAAAGACTGGATATTGGTGGGTGGGTTTATTTCTCTAACTGTCCTAGAGCAAAACATTACTAATTCATACCTATTTTAATAATACCTTGTTTCTGCCCAGTCCTGCTCCAGATGCATGTATAGTTTAAACCCAGATCAGTTCTTCCCCCCCCCACCTCCACACAGGCAGCTGAAAGCCAGATGTTCCCTAGCAGCACACACACCTCATACTGCTTGTGTTTAAGTCCTATGGACACTGCTGCGGCAGCCCATCCCAAATCACCTGACTGGGCACACAGTCATGTGCAGCACAACTGCACAGAAGAGAAGCTCAGGCAGGACAGAGTTCCCTTCCCATGGCTCCCTCCCCATTCTTTTTGTGCTACTGCAGCATGTAATGTTCACTGGCTTGAGTACTGCATCTCAGGGAATTTAGGGATGAGTATAACCAATACAAATCACCTTTCTCTCCAAAAACTGCACACTGACATCATCCTTCTGTGCATTCTTGATCATTATGGTCACAATTACTTGAGATTCTGTTTGGTACCAGTCATACCTTTTAAAAAAAAAAAAAAGGAACAATTTTTTTTTAAAGCACACAGCATATAAAATTAGATCACTTTCCTAAATCATTCACTTAGTTCAGAATCTTTAATATAGCTCAAAAACATTAACTATACCAGGCACAGTGGAACAGGCTTTGAATTAAGCTCAGCATGAGAATAAGAAAACAGAAGTCAGAATGTTGATGCATTCTGCAACCTCTCTCCTGGTTAGGTTTAACCTCCTGAAAGTACCATTTAGTCTGAACAAAAGTGATGGCACTGAGTAACACTTCACTTGGACTGCCATATTTCTGAAGTTACCCCGAAAAAGCCTCCTACAGTCATTATCCTGCTTCTCCAATCCCCAAGCCAAAGTGCAAATATGTCAATTACTTTAAATTTCACAGTAATACTGAAGTCAACTTACTTGATCTTTGGTGGCAGAGGCTGCTGCTGCATATTCTAGTTGAAGCACATTCAATTGGAAAGAAAGTGACATCAATGTGAAAATACACCATGAATACTTTTCAAGGCACAAATAACTTTCACTGATTGCTCCCCTTTTCTTGATTCCAACTGCTCCCCCCTTCCCTGATTTATGTGTGAACATTAACTTACAGGTTGAAGTTCTCCACTGTTTAATCATTTAGGGCAGATTACAAATTAAAGAGTTTCAATTTACATTAAATGTGTTAGTCTGTAACTTGAATATATTTTATAAATAGCAATTAAGTTCAACTTAAACTCATTTCCTCCTGGATAAGATGCATACCTAGAAAACATCCAGTGACTATACTGCTAATCTATAAATCATGAAGGAAACCTAAAATAGGTCTGAGAACTCAAAGTTCAACTTTTAAACATAAAATCCTTCTAAATCTAAGATTTGTCTCTACATACTGCTACCACGCTTCCTGTACATTTTTGTCATCTACCCTGTTCTCAAAACATAAAAATTTAGGTTAACTATTAAAGAGGTAACAGAATATCCAATGCAAAGCCCCCCCCCCTTTTTTTTTGTCCCAAGAATTAAAAAAACAGGAGAGGTCGATTTCAACATTTCTTATGAAGACTTTCAATAAAAAAAGACAACTGAAAGTTGAGCAGGTTGTAACAGAAAAAAGTCTACACAATCCACTTGTAAGCTTCTGGGGAAAAAAAAAAGTTACTTCCTAACAGTTGCAATCAAGTTAGTAGCAACAACACAATTAACCACAACTGGTTCATTTGTAAATTAGGCTGCAGACTGCAAGCTAGAAAGTTAAATTTTACCTCAACGGATGCACAGTAATTGCCAGATTTGTTAAGCATTCCTAAGAGTTTCCAGGGCTCAAGTTTTCAGCCTTGGTCTCAAAAGCGCTTATGTTCAGAAGAAAAGTTAAATACTTCAGAATTGCACACAATATGATTCTTTTTAAAGCTTGGAAGTGAAGCCACTGAAGCAGAAAATATACTCTAGCATAACAGAAAAGTCAAAATAGTAAACATATTAAGGAAAATATCTTACCGAATCAGTCTGTGATGCTGGAAAAAAAAGAAATTGCATTTTCAGAAAAAGACATATTGAACTTACAAGGCACAACCTTACCCTAGCTGCTTCAGTTACTCCAGACATCCTGCATTCACTCCAGTCTCAACAGCAGAGCAGGTAGAAACACATCAGTTCTACCTCTAGTATTTTGCTTTCATGATACTCTACTTTTTAATCAGACTTCAACCAGCAATTTGTGCAAACCAACAACTCTAATATAAACCATGTTCTGATTAACTGAATCAAGAAATTTTCCATTACATTCCCTTGCCTACCTGAAATGGATACAGGCATTTTTTAATTAAAACAACATCACAGGAAACAAGAGGTTAAAAAATCACTGTCTGGGAGTCTGCACTAGGTTTATCATACATCCATCCCCAGGAACAGCACAAAGCTCTCATCACACTTTTATCTCATGCTAGGGAAACCTCACTGGGGAATGAGATGGAAATTTCCCACTGGGGAATGAGATGGAAATTCACTTACATGACTCTAAATATACTGTAGCACTTGTATCTAAACTATAGCTTAGTATCCTCCCATCTTATAACTATTTTTTCTAAAATATTTAAAATTAAATATGTTTGAAGAGAAACAAACTTTCCCTTTGTTTCTTCATAATGAAAACTGACAAAAAGAGAAAAAATATTAAGCTGCAATGAAGAAATCAGTTATTGCTTTGTTATTGCCTTTATTGGTTTGTTTGCTTTGTTTTACTGTCAGAGAATTAAGAAAATGGTTCAGAAAGACAAGACAGTGAATATTCAGGATAAAACGGAATAATATACTGCAAAATATAAATATGTTACTGCAAAATATAAATACAACGTTACTGCAAAACACTGCAAAATATAAATACAATGTTAAAGATAAAAGTGTATTGTAACCTCTTTCAGAAAAAATTGTCCCTAAAGTAACTCTTTGCAAAAAACAACATGCAGGCCAATCACTTACCTAATTCCTCCAAATAAAATTAAACCTTGCAAAATGTCTCACAAAGCAGAAATCTGCTCATCACTCTACAACACAAAAGGGTTCTCCTCTGTATGGTTTTTAGTCAACACACTGACATAAACTTATTCTACTGTCCCATTCTCCAGTGCGCAGCACAGAGAGGAGAGAAAGTCACAACAGGCAGAGGAAAAAATGATACAAAGTTATTCTGTTCTGCTCTCTTTCATCAGAATCCCCAGGCAGTCTAAGCTTTGTGGATGAGTTAATTGTCAGGGCTGTCTGTCTGTAGGAAGGTATGAAAGGAAACTATGCTTACACTCAGTGACTACCATGGGTAACTCACCAGAACAGCCATTAGCATCTATGGAACTTTCCACATGGAACCAAGGAGAAAAATCTCCAAATTTCTACCTCTTTCCAACTTTATCTTCTATAAGACTTGAAAACTTATTTTGATGTAAGCTTTAGATAGCAAGCTGACACTTCTACAGTTAAAATTAGTTCACAGTTGTGTATGAAAATAAGTTAAAATTAATTATGATTGTCTGATCTTTAAATAGGTACTCTCCTGGCACAGCTAATTATTACTCTAAAAACCCCAATATAAATCTTCCTACAAATCTGAATGAAGCATACAAGTGCTAAGGGTGTCTACTCCAACAGAAACAAGAAATAGAAAAATATTACTTCTAAAAAAGATTTTTCTTTTAGAACAAATTATTTTGTTCTAAATAAGAGGAAAGCAGTGAATCTTTGAAAAACATAACACAGCTTCCAAGCACAGGGCATATCAAATCCCTCACTAAATAAATGTGTTTTTTCTTACCATTCAGTGTTTCTTCACATCTTTTTATCCAAATAGTAAAGGTATCATCTACATCTAGAAGAGATCAAAACACAGTAATATTAAAACTCCTTCAAGCATTACATGTATTGCATGAAGAAAAAGTCCTCTCAGTAGCCAACTGGAACAAATCCATCCCAAACTTGTAGCAATTTACTAAAAAAGGTTTTATTTCCTACAACCTTCTTGTAAGCTCTGTTATTTCACTTAGGCTTTAAGTCTTTTTGTACAACTACACTGTGTGTTATATTTCATTAAATTCTAATTAATCTGTAGGAGACTAGATTTTGTCCAACTGACAGGAATATGCCATTGCTTTCCAGTCTGTTCAACTCCTATGTAACTGTTTAGAAAGCAAGACATACAGTTTTACACATTTTTCTTTAAATTACTTTTTCAAACAGTCACACGCTTCCTCTCCAGAGAAATGTCAAGAGAGATGGTCTGTTGTGTAGACAACCCAAAGTTGTACAACTTTTGACAAACATCAAGTACTCTCTCCTAGAAACAAGCCTCCCAGACAGAAATTAATTCACTGGAAAATAGGTAAAAAGACGACAGTGTAACAACAGAGCAATCACCTTATTTCAACAATATTCCCAAAAACTCTTTCACTGTGAAGAACGTAAAACAGTAGCAATTATGCTCACCAACTACTAAGAATAGCTGAGCTTTTCTAGTTTTACAAGTAAATTCACATTGTTCACTATGAGGCAAAGGACATGGAGAAGATTGACAAAATTCCCAGCAGACACGCACGTAACACCAAGTCTGACTCCACTGCAGCTACACAATGTACCCCAACCCTCTAAATATAAAATGTACATCAATTTTGAGGTGCACCTTTGGTCATTAAATTGCTACCCCACTCCTCAAGCCATTTCACCTCCACTTTTCTTCTGCCATCTGAACAGATATCTTAAGAGTTATCTACATTTTTTACCAAAAGAATGGGCAAACCCTGAAGCAGGCTGTCCAAAGAGTCTTGGAGATACTTGGAAAACAATAGTAAAAAGCCCCAAGCAAACACAAGCAAGTTCAAAATTAATATTACTTTTGGTCAGAGCACAGAATTACAGGAATTCCAGAACTCCCATGAAACCTAAATTAATCAATATTTTCAAAAATTAGCACCACAACCTAAAAAGACTTCCAAAATTTGCAGTCTAAGCAAAGTCTCCACTGATTCAAGCTCCCTCATGAGCAGGTGAGGAATTCTCTTTTTAACCATGGCCTATGACTAGATTGCTATGCAATACAAACCTAAAAAAATGTGCAGTTAACATCCCTATTTTTATAGAAGATCACACTCTTTCCCTGAATCCTGGCACATTTTGAGGCAAATGAATTTTGATCTCTAAAATGGTATTATCCTCCCAAATAACTTATTTCTACTAAAAACTGTAGTTCAGAAAACCTTCCTGGGTCTTCACTGATGAAAATCTACTAACTCCTAAAATACAAGAGAAGTAAGAAATTTCTTTTAAAAGTTGCCATGTTCCAGCTTTACTAAATTCATTCAGTGGTCACAGCAAAAAAACCCAAGAAAATTTGAGAGTAATTGTCCTAAATCTACATAGCCCACTGAAGAGTACCAGATTACACTCATTCTTCAACTAAGGGAATAGGAACTGCAAAAAACTGCATGCATCACACAGTTGAACAAAAGGAGTACTGCCTTCTAATGTTATTTCATAAAATAAAGAAACATTGTACATTCCACAGCTCATCACATTAAATCCTACTTTGATATCCTTGTAGGTGGGTAATGGGAAGGTTGCTGTGGTACCCTGGGCCTGTCAGTCCTACCAGTGATGAGCACAAGTAGGAAGCTCATCCTTGTCAGCATTCCAGATTGAGATTTAAAACAGCCCTTACATTAGCAAAGAACAGAAACCTGTATCCATCTACTTCTGCCCACTTGTGTGGCAAAGAAACCAGCTTTGCCAGCAAAGAATTCCCCACCACAGCAATTCTTCCCAAGGCAGCAACAGCTGAAGCCACTCTTCATCACCTGCCTAGTGAATGTTGCAAATTTTCCCTCTGTGCTTTGTTCATTTTGCATTAGCTGCATTTAACTGCATGTTAATTGTGTTGCCAAAATGTCTATGCTCACAATTGTTTTCCCCTGGGATCCATGAAACATTCCACAAAGGTAAACTCTGTTACTGACACAAACTTGCCAGCAAATTAGGTAATATATGAAAGAAAATCAACTAAGTCTGTAATTTTAAAAAGGCCTTCAGGAGACTCCTCATCTCACAGCAGGCTACAGAACTTTGTAATGAGATGGAGGAAGCACAGCAGAAAGTATCTCCAGACAAGAGAGTAATCAGGAAGTGCTAGGAAGCTTCAGAAACTCTTCAACTGAGTAAGCAGCAAAACAACAGCAAATTAAATTCAAACAGGTAGAAATGAAGCAATTCAACACAGGAAAATGTGCTGTATTTCAGGGATTCTGAATTAGCAAAGAGGACCCTGGTATTCACTGACTTATCTAAAAGATATCTGCAGCTCTGTGTTGTACTCTACAACATCGATAGAATGTGAGGTTACCCATACACATGAAAAACCTCAAATTGATACTGGTTGCCTGGTGTGGGGCAAGAGTATGAAAAGTAAAGATTAGACACTCAAATTCAGCAGTGATGAGCTTGGAGATGTACAAAAAGTAACCTACCAGGTAAGTAAAGCAACATAGTTTAGCAGAAGGAATCTCTTCCTTTCACAGAAAGTTACAAAATAGAGAACTGGACTACACTGCAAAGACAAAATTAATATAGACCATCTAGTTATCCAAACTACCAATACAGAAAGAGTTTCAGGAAACTTCTTATTTTCAACTCTTGTTCCAGGGCAGCCTAAACTGACAGCTGTGAGTTGCTGCAATTTCACCACATCTCCCTCCTACCACTGGCCCAACACTGCTCTGCCACTTCACTTTTGATGGCTTCAGCACTCAGACCCTTTGCTGGGCCATTTCAATACATTCATCCAGGAGGAAAGACTTTAAAAATAGTAGCTTTCTGCAGACTTAATGCACTGAAAGAAGAGGCTAAACAAGCACAAGAGTAATAAGGAGCATGATCACTTGGCATCAAGTATAAGCTTACACTTCCATGGAACTCCACTTTTAAATCAGAGGATTAGATCACTTATTTGGAAGATGCAAAGTAATTCTATTTTTGCTAAGCCTACATGTCCCAGCCACTACTATTACAGATAAGATAACAAACTGAACAGATCTGAGACCACAACAATTCTTATCAGATTAGGACATTTTGCTCTGCATAACCTTTCAAGGTGCTTTTTTATTTTTTTACCATCTTTTTTTGCTGTTTGGAAGAGAGGATGAGGGGGATAGGAGAATAGATAAAGGGGTCACAACCATCTTGCAATTGCTTTGTTTTGTGCTTCCCCATGTGTTCTACCAAAGCCTTCTGTTTTTAACAACTCCTTTCCTGCTTATTCAATAGAGTCAGGTTTTAAAAACGCTGTAGGTGTTCCCAAACTAAAAAGTACCAAGTCCAGCCAGAAAGCCAACACCGTAAGATGAAAAGAGAGATATAAAAAATAGGCTTCTGTAATTAAGTGGTACGTAATGTAAGGTAAAAATCCACTTGGTCAGCTTGAATACCCACCAAGTTGCACATTCTTTCTAAAGACTGATCTATTAAACTGTTTAAGAAGAAATTCCAGCTACATCTAAAGAGCCTGCTCTATTTAAATTTTTTTCTATGACACTTAACAGTATAACATTGCCACTATTTATCTTCAAGACCTCCAGGAAGCAGGAAAGCACTTATAAAGCAAAAAATAAATCTGCTACCAATTGCTCAGAACTTTGATACACATTTTTAAACAGTTTAACACTTTCATGCAATGATTGCATAAAGGCTCTCAAAAGTCAGACAGCTGATGTTAGGGACCCAATACATTAGCCTTAAAAAAAATCTTTGGTCTCCATTTCAATCTAACACATTACCCATTATTTTAACATAAGGAATACACACAAGAAACTTTAATACTTACTGTCCAGCCTCTGTCCCTCTCTGAAAGACTCTAAAGCAGATGCATAGTTTTTGATATGATATTCACCTAACCTGACACAAATAAAGAAAAATACAAGAAAACAGTGATTACTTTTCAGTGGAGTCCACATTCTATAGATAACATGCTGTATTGGTTAAAATGACGTGTAAGAATTCAAATTACCTAAAAGGTGTGGTTTTGAAATGGCAAAGGTATTACAATAATCACTCCAAACTACATGGATTAATTACAAATAGGTTGCAAGCAGCATGGCTTTGAATTTATTAATTCTCAGTATTGTAAAAAGTTTGCACAGAACCATAATCCAAACTCTAGTATTGACCTAGAGATTAGCACAATATTCCCAAAGTACCATAACTGATACATACCCTTTTCTAAGGAGCGCTACAGCATTATTTGGGTTGAGTTCTAGAGACTTTTTTGCATCTGCAACTGCATCTGTTGGAAACATAATGTTATAAAAAGCAGTGAACTGTCAAGTGTTTTAGTAGTGAAATTCTTCTAGGATGAACTATGTTATCTTTCCTAGCTTGCACACAAATCACACTGTCTGAATTAAGTCTAGCCACAACCGCCACACATGAATCCCTTACAGAGCTGCAGAGCTCTTATGTAAGATGCAGCATGACTTTCATTTAGCTAAATACTCTGCTTAGATGTGAAGCGTGATTCTGTTTGTTTGGTTTTTACTGGAAAGAAAAAATAAACCAGATCTTATTCAGCCAATCTTTTCCCAGGCATTATTCACTTATCACATTCCTATCATGACAGGATTCAGTCTCTACCAAGAACACAATGATGGAAGACACAATGCAAAAATCTCAAGATCTGCCTAAGAAGTCTGCTTATAAAAAGCTGCCAAGATAATATTAGACTGGAATCAAATAGAAAGCTAGGACTCTAGCAAACCCATTTCACTGAAAGTTTTGCAGTAACAAAACAATCTAAGAAAACGACAAGATTATGTACCAACACCAAAAGCAGCATATTAAGTTACAGCTAACACACCCTCTTGTTACTGTGATTGAAGACATCTCCTGTAAAACATGCATTATGATACACTTGTAAAAGCATTCTTAGACTAAAGATGTTACCAGCATATTTCTGTAGAAGAATATGAGCATAAGCTCGTTGACAATAACATTCTGCATCATCTGGATTCTTTTCCAAAGCTGTTGTCAGTTCCTGTAAACACACATTAAAAAAAATGAAACAGTACTTCAGAAATCCTCATAAAAACACAGTATCAAACTCTGTCAAGTAAGAGACATTTCAGAAGATAAAATCCTAACTGGCATTTCTGTTTACCTGTTGCTTAGCTCTCATGCACAAAGCTAAACATCAGAGGCTGAAGTACAAGGAACCTGCCAATTATACCAAATTCAAGCAGACTGTTTCTTACTGTGAAGGAAGTGGGATTTCAAATGCTCTAAACATGAAGTCTAACACAGATGATCCTCTCTATTCCAAAAACCTTCCTACAATTCTAAGTATGCCTGTACATAGGTCTGCTGGATTTGAGAGAGCAGAGCAGTATTAGGAGTTTGGAAGTCAACGCACACTATGTCAGAACAGCTGTGTGGAGATAAGATGCTATGAAATACCATGTAACACGCATTATGGTGCTAAGAGATTGTTTCAATTTATGCTGAGCACAAAAGCAGAAGAAGGAAAGATTTATGGAGCAGAGGGTTCAGAGGAGGTATTACTGAACAATGGAAATAAGCATAAAGTAGTCCTTTGTAAAGGGAATCACAGGATATATGGATTGAAATAATAACACATTGCTCTCTCTGAGAAAAGTTCGTGACTTTGCACACAGAATAAAATCACAGCAACTTGAAGCACACACCTGGAAAGAGCATCTCCAATTCTCTCCTTATTGGTGAGAGAATTCCTTCCCATTGCTAGAAGCCAGTCTTCCAAAAGGGACCACAGTACATTGCTACAACTCTGTTTGCTAAGTTGACTTCTACTCAGACTTCCACTTGGAATCTAGCAAGTATGAAGGTAGCTAAGATACAAGCTTTAAACCTGCAGAAACATTTGTACAGCACAGCTGCCAAAACTCTGCTCCACCAAGACAGAAAAAAGAAGGGAAGGAGGACTTGCCTTACCTCCAATTCAGGCCAGTGTCTTTTTCTAACAGATGTCACATAAAGTGTTTATGCCACCTAGGACTTATGGGGCCAGAACAGCTTCTTCTAGCAGCAGCACAAATTCTTACTATGTAAGATGCACACACCTCTAAAGAGATACAGCACATGAATCTAAATTCTTGGGGGTCTCTGAAGAAAGGGGCAGGCAGTAGGCAGCAGTAACTTGATCTACTTGTACTTCCTGAGATAAAGTTATTCAAAAGCAGCTGTCAATATGGAAATACTCATGGCTGCAGGTATTCCACATGGCAGGGATGTGAGGCCCTGCACATATTCAAATTGGTTCATATTATGCTGAGAGGTGAAGTACTTCTGACATTTGAAACCAAGCAGGGTCTGACTCTGACACTGAACATCAATCACAGGCACATCCAGGTGCATCAGCACTGCTTTGACAGATCACCTCTCCCTCCAAACACTATTTCCTGTGATTTGTGCTGATGACAGATGCACCGATTGGAGCCAGCAACATATGAATGGATCCTCCTACAAAACTAACCCTCATCCCAGGAAAGGAAAGCAAAGCAAAGCCAAGCATTTTCAACAGTGTAAAACTTCTCCCTGTGTGTGCTTTTTATCAGTAAGTTATCGTTATCACATCTCATCCAGGCACACACATGGAGCAAGTAACTCCTGTAAGCTATTTGAGAAGCCAAGTAATGCTGGACTAGCACTGAGAACTCCAGACTATGGACATCAGCAACAGTTACTTAGAACAAGCTTAGACTTTGCCCTCACACTTAAGTAAGTGATTTCTGCATATTTTTACTCTAAAGGCCCTTACCATGTGACCAAATTGCAGATCTGTTTCTAAATACACTGGAAAATTCAGTAAAGAGTTTGCATGAATTAAAGGTGCCTTCTGTCTCCACACAGTAGCTTATATTTTCAACTTAAAATGAGAAGTCATTCATGAGTTCACAGTTTTGTCATTCAAACAGTATTAGAAGATGAAAGATGATCTTTCAATTGCATCAGATCCAGATGCAGAAAGCCAAAGCACAATCTCCAGGAATTAAAGCAATCAAAAATCCCAAGGACACAGTGCAGAAATGCCAGGCCAACTGGACAGAAGCCCAGCCAGGTATGAAAGCATTACACAGCACCATTTCTACAGAACTGTCCCCCACATTAGAAATACCAAGCACATGAACATAAAGACCACACATAAGCCCATGCAAGCACAGTGTAGCACCTGGAGACCTGAGCCCCTAAGCCAGCAAAATGCTGCCCTGAGCTGTGGCACTTCCCAGTTCAGAGAGCACCAAGCAAATCTGCCTACTCAGTTCAGGGATTTGGAAACAAGGCCTAAACTGACAGCAGCATTACTGTGTCAGGTATTAAATAATGCCTATAGAATGTGTTACATAATGTTCTGAAGCACTGAATGCACAAAAAACTGAAATATAAGCTAGAAAAGCAAAACAACTATGTTAATCCAGGAAAAAATACAAAAACACATTCTGGCAGTATTCCCTAATACTTCTGAAGACCTTTTAGTGTCAGGGATTTTTGGTTTGTTTGCTGGTGGCTATTTTTAACTACAAAATGTGAAACTTACTCTTTTTTTTTTTACATCTTGAATTAGTTTTATTCTGCCATACAGATTTGGCTATTCCAAACTGGTTTTTAAATGTCATTTATCTTTTGAAAAACTTCTACAAGTTACAGCCTAAACCCCAAAGAACTGAAAAATTTAGCTTCACCATTTTCTTTGTGGAAAGATAATTTAGTATAACTTAATGGTTCTACCACCCACTCTCTTCAAGCAGTACTAACCTTTTACATCTTCTCCCCTCCTAAGTAGTTAAATAGAAACACTTATCCACCCTCCAGTTCTGTCTTCTCATTAACCATCTGTTTTAAGTAAAAATTGCCTTTAGAAAACAGATTAAAACATATTAATTGACGAAGTCATAGAACAGGCCAGGTTGGAAGGGACCTCAAAGGATCATCTCATCTAACCTTTCATGGGAAAGCCCGCCTAGATGAGAGTATCCAGCAACGTGCCCTTTCGTGTCCTGAAAACCTCCAGTGATGAGTCCCCCTCCAGTGACGGGGACTCTACCATGTCCAGTGGGGAGTGTTTCAGTGAGTGATCATTCTCACTACATAAAAATTATTTTCTGTCGACATGAAAGGAAGATCAGTCGTGGTGCCCACAAAATATAGGGAGAGCAAAAAAAAAAAATAGACCGCGGCAGAATAAAAACTAAGATGCAATACCTCTCTCCAATAAGCTTGGGGGGTTTATACCCGCAAATCTTAACTGATTTAGCTGTGAGAACTACCAACTACCTTCAAGGAAGAGAAAGTTTGTTTTGCTTTCTCCCCCCACCCCTTCTTTGCCACAGAGGCAGCACGAGTGCTGTGCCAGGTCCGCGCCGGGCTCCTCTGCAGCCCGACCTCACCTGAGCCAGGCTCCCGGGGGACCCGGCCCAACCCCGGCCCGGTCCGGCCCTCACCTGCGCCGCCGCCCCCGGGTCCCGGTCGACGTCCGCGTCCGAGAACCTGCCAAGGAAACACAACGCCGTCAGCGAGCGGGAGGGCGGCGGGGCCGCGGGGGAGGCAGGGCGGGGGAGGGCGCTCACCGCGGCGGGGCCGCTCCCGCTGCCGCTCCCGCCGCCTCCTCCATGCCGCCCGTCGCCCCCAGGAAACTTCTGGAGCCGCTGAGGCGCCCGCGCCGCACGCACCGCGCAAGGCCGCGCCGCGCGGGGGCTGCCGGGAGGCGCGGGGAGCGGCCGCGCAGGCCCCGCCCCGCCCCAGCGGAGGCCCCGGCCGAGCGGAGCGGAGCGGAGGGAACGGCCCTGCCCGCCCTTCCCGCCGCCTCTTCCTGCCCCGCAGCGCCCGCCCCCCGCCTGCCCACCGCGGGGAGCCTCGGCCCCTCGGGCTTGGAGAGATTTGTGTCAAAGTCGGCAATTTAATTTTTTTTTTTTTTCAGTCGTTAACCGGTAGCTGTAGCTGGAGCAGTGCAGTAGTTGCGCAGTTGCGTTGTGAGCATCGTACGCGTGGCTGATCTTTCGCTTTAAAGGAGAAGGGAAGGCAGTCACCAGAGGAATTGGCTGGCTGGACGGGAGCCGCCGGGAGTGCAGTCAGCAGGGCTGGGCAGTAACTGGGGGAAGGTCATGGCAGCAGTGGGACATGGGGACCACTGACCCCCCGAGCACCGCCTGGAGCGGAGCCCAGGCTCAGAGGGAGGGAAGAACTGCGCCCGCAGGCGTGAGAAGCCAGAGATGGCAGAATCAGTTTGGTTGGAAATGACCTCTGAGATCATCGAGTCCAGCCCCTGACTGAACAGCACCACGATAACCAGGCCAAGTCCAGTATTTCCTTAAACACCTCCAGGGACGGTGACTCCACCACCTCCCTGGGCAGCCCATTCCAATACCTACTTGCCCTCATTCTTCCTAATGTCCGACCTAAACCTCTCCTGGTGCAGTTTATGAGACCACTAGCAATAGGGGTTAGAGTATTAATTAAAGAAAAAAGTTATGTAATCTGTAACCAATGAAGGCTGATGCCTTTGTTAAAATTTACAACCAGTGTGAAGTTTTAGTAATCAGAGAACCAGCCTTTTGTGGGTTACCTAGCTCCCTACTTTGTGCAAATCAGAATCAAAACCAGAAATACCTCCCAGTGTGTCAGCTGGTGCTGTGCACCAAGCACCCAGCCCATGTCCAGAACAACAGAGTGGTGGACAGGACTTCCCAAAGACCTCCCAAAGGAGGCCTCCACCTCCTCCGGATGGAATTTCCTTCTGTGAAATGCCTCAAAAATAAACAAGTGCCTTTTTCTCCTCTGTGGCTTCACACACGTGTGGAAAAGAACTGCGGCCTCAATTTTTATTTTCTGACTCAGAAGTGGCTGGGATTTTAGCTGTCGTGTTTTGTTTGGCTGCTGCCACAGGAACAAAGGCAGCTGTGACAGGGGAGGGGTTGCTTAAACTCAATCATGATTTCATGATTGACTCCAGCTTTTCCCTTCCTTTGCCATATCAAAGAGAGTTCAAAGTACAGATCCACCTGGCTGGCACACCAGAGCCCAAGGGATATGGGGAGGGAGTGATTTCCATTTACTATTTGTTACACAACATTACTGCTGCTGGAGATTTCCACCACTTCTCCAACTGACATAAACTAAACTGACAAAGCATTTTCCATGTGTAATAGCTGCATCTATGGCATGAAGTTTTGTTGTGAAGATGTAACCTTATGGTGCAATTCCCTGCCCCCCCCCCCCCACATTTCCAGTAAACACCAAAGCAACTTCCCTGTATCTAAAAACAAATGTCAGTCAAGCATTATCACTTCTGATTTTCTAGAATTATTAAATACTTGTAGTATAGGAAAACATCCCTATTTTATAGTTTTATTAGAAAAAATAGCTTCCATCTCCAGTGCTTCTGTCCATCTAACACAGCCCACGGGGTGAGGACTGTTACCAGATATGCTTCCACAAAGCTTATCCACATTCCTGAAAATATTGCCAGCCTTCCCCAGCTGCAGGGAGTGCTGCCAGATAAACAACCACTGGTGTGGGTATGACCAGCCTTCCTGTAAATGGGTGAGGTGCTGGGTTTGCAGGTGGAATCCTGACTGCCAAGAGTCAGAGGGAAGAACTAACACGGCAGCTGTGGCAGAGAACTGCTTGTTCAATAGTTTGTAGAGTTCCTTCTGTCAAGCATCAAGACCATACTCTCTCTGCCACTCTGCTGCTCCTATTAGTTTTTCTAGTATTAGTGCTTTAAGTTATATTTAACCTTACCAACCAATCAATAAAACTCCACCATTAATTCAATCATAGAAAGTCATATTCCCTTTCATTTTATACTGACAGAATCATAATACCAGGCAAAATATTTATTATTAACTTACCCTCTGCTTAAACACTGCAAACACGCAAGTTTTTGAAGCCCTAATAGCTTGGGCTGTCAGTTGTATCATACAAACTACAACAACCTTTCTGAATTACGCTCAGAATTTTGTGTTGTTTGTAACATACTGGGAAATGATGGAAAAGAAGAAGTTTAAGTCCAGCTCCTGGATTTATCTCAATCTTCAGTTCAGTTACAAAAATATACATTACTGCTGTTTCAAAGGATATTCAAGTCTGTTCAGAAGTGAATTGCACATGTTCCACCACAGACCCACACTGACTAATCACCCTGTCCCTGTTTCTCACTGTATTTTACTTATTTATGATGACTGTCAAAGCATTATAATAATTAAAAACATTCCAGAGTAAATACAGAAAAGTGGTTTTCCATTTGATTTATTTTCATAATAAACCAATTAAAATACAAAAGAAGGACCCAAGGTTCAATGGGCTCCATCATTTAAAAATTTGTCTTTAAATACAAAGTCACTCAGTAATATGAATACATATAACATTAGACCTCTAAACATAACAATCTTATTGATCTTATTTGCATCTATCAAAAATTTGTATGGAAAAAATTTAGCTGAAAAAACTTCCCTGCAACATTGAATATACAGTATTTACAATCGAAAACCAAGAACTCTTAGCAGTATTAATCTCCAAAAACCTGCATAAATCGTATATATTTAATTTCCCTCCCCCCTTACAAAATAATCTGAAGTAGAAAGCAAGATTGTTAAGCTTCATAGTCGCAAAATGGCATGAAACATTTGCACCTGTAGTGATGCCGTTAGCTTCTGTAATTAAATACATCTGATGTTTTCATATAAAATATAGGCATGGCATTGTCATTTCTGGAATATATGTTTTGAGTACTCTCAATAGGAGTGTATATTCAGTTTTGCACACACAAGAGCTTGTGCTGCAAAAAATACAAGAGGATACCTGGTTATCAAAGTCGAAAACTGATGTCATTCACTGATATGAAACAGATACTCGATCATAAAAATTCAAACACATGGAATGAAACTGTCTTACTAAAACTAACTGCTGCTTCCAAAGGTGATACACATACAGATTGAACAGAAAAGGTTACAATAACATTACTGCAATGTAAATCAGCAACAGACTGACAACAAAATAAGGGAAGTTTGAAACTTTGGCCAACAACCTCAGGAGAAAGTCTTCATAGCATAAAAAGCATGTTCCTTCATGCCTGTACTTTGAAAAATGAGTAATATATAATTTTATTTATATGATAACATTTAGCAATTAACAGAAAATCAAAATCCATCCTAAAGCATGAATTCTAAAAATTAACTGCAGAAATTTAGTAGCTTTGCAACATCATGCTTCAGAATCAAATAATATATACATAACTGAAAAGGTCCCATCACATTTATGAAAATAATCATCCACAGGGTCTTTTTTTTTTAAATTATCAATACAAATTGGGTTCCAATGGTTCATTTTCTTGCTTCACTTGCACGTTAGATGGGAAATTATTTGAACTGGACACTACCATCACAAATGGTTGCTGCTGGAATCTCTGCTCCGACTGCTCAGTATCTTCTACTTTGTCACTCTCCTCCTTCTCCTCTTCTTGTAGGCCAACCTGCTTCGTGTCCGGTGCTTTAATGACCGACGTGATCACCGTGCCCGAGGGCTGAGACACCACCTGTGAGCTGCTGGGCGAGAACGTCACCACGGGGTTGCTGGAGCTGAAGGATGGAGATGAAGCCATGTTGACTGTTCCATTGCAAATTGTCTGCACGCTGCTGGTGAGCACCTGCTGAACTTGTGCTGGGCTCAGCACAATCGAGGAAGGAGGTGAGACTGGCTTCTGAGACTGTAGCATGATGTTTTCTTTAAGAACCGTCATGGGCTGGGAAGTAGGAATGGCTTGTAAAATGAATTTCTGCGCTGTTGTTACTGAGGCTGGATCTGTGCTGGCTATCACTGTGGTAAGAGGCACTGTCTGGAGTGTTACAGTATGCAGCTGCTGATTTCCAGGCGAAACAACCACTGGAACCTGGGTTGGAGTCTGCAAAGTCCTGCTAAGATTAGAGAAGATTATTGTGTCAGAACACTTCCATGCTGGATTTTGAAAAAATAATTATAGGTTTACCACAGAAAAAACATTTGGCATCATAAACATTTTATTTACCCAAAAGAGGTAGTAGAATCTCTCCTAATAAAACCAGAACTGGACCTGACCCCTGAATTCAGCAAGATGATTCCCAAAGTAAAAGTACCCCATATGAACAATTCTACCATCACCAAGCTGAACAGCCTGCCTTTGAGACATTCAGTGGTTCATCAGGAAACCTAGAATCACATTCAAGACCTCTACCTCAAGCACTGCCCACCATCAAAAGCACAACCCACTAGAGATCTGCCATCAGTTTCAAAAATTACACCAAGTAAATAATAAATCACAAGCTTAACTCAGGCCTTGATTGTCCTGACATCCACATATACATTTAACTGTGTTCAAAAGTATCCACATCGTAGCAGTGTCTGGGCACAACCTTGCCACACTCCCAGGACACAGAGTTCTTTGTCTGCCAGGCTCACACACAACTTCTGGTAAAACAGCTGATCAGAATCTGCTTCCAAAACATCATTTTAAGTTAGGAGTGATTGCAGGCTAACAGACTTGGGTACCATGTGACTGTCAATAGATGTAGAGCTCTGGGAACAACATTAGAGGATTAAGAGCTGTATTGCTGGAGTACACAGCTACTGCAGTGCACAGTGGTTACTGAAATGTGGCAATACACTCCAGTCACACAAATTAAAACAAAACAAAACCCCCAGAAAACATAAATGGTTACCAGCGGAGGGAGAGAGGAAGGGAAGGGCAACTGCTCTGAGACCCTGACACAGCTTGTTTCATGCCACCGTGCCATGCTGTCTCTGTCAATCTTTCTTTCCTTCTGTTTGTCACGCAGAGTTGTCTCCAATCTTCCTGCTTCTCTTCGATGTTTAGTCCTGCCTGCCCTCCTCCCCTTTTTCAGTCTTAAGCTCTCCCTGGTGTTTTCTCAAAAATAATAAAAAAAAAACTATCTCCACCTCCTAGATTATTTCTACCCCTGCTGCAATCACTTTAGATGGAAAGCAATTTACTGTCAATGGTCATACTTCCACGCCCATGCACAATATTGCCTGCTCTTCTTTCTGAAGACTGGACCTCAGATATGCTGTAAGGGTTGCCTGCCATACATCAACCATGGAATGTCCTCCATTCTACACTCCTTCTACCCATACAGAATTTATTTTTCACAGCTCTGTGTAAGTCTACATTTCAACATTTAGCCACTGACCAGTCCAATCTAATTCAACATATTCAAAACTTCCATTTAAAACCATACTCTGGCAACCACAGTTGCAACAAAAAGCCTACCAAAGCAGGACTTAGGTGGTGCTGAAGCTATGGGACAATGTGGAGGCAGATGCTGCTGCTGGTCATAGTCCAACTGCACAGGGAGCTGCATTCCCCCTTTCTTAGTGCAGCAGCAGAGACAAGTGCAGGAATATATGTAGAAGGTTTCTCATGTCCCACTCAGCACAGTCCTCTAGGAAAGGCCTCTAGCTGAGCTCCAAAGACTGCTCCATCAAGAGCAGGCCCAGTAACCCTGCTGGTATCAGGCTCAGAGCACGTGGGTGCTTCCCTGAGCATCTTCCAGCTGCCAGTCCTTCCTGCAGGCAATCTTTTCCCCAGATCACATAGAGCTTGTTAATACAAGAAACAAAATTTCCATCTCTAACTTTCTCTTCCTCCCAAGAAAGACAGTTGCAGCACCCAGCAATGCTGCTACAGCAAGCCAAATCCAAATCATTGCCAATACGTGCCTCATCACAGCAGCCATCATAATAATGACACAAAATTTGATGTGACTGACACCAGAGTCAATCTTGAGCTCCTTTTTCCCACAACAGAAGAAATCCCAAGGAAGAAGTTCATGGAAATGGGGCTGGTTGAAAGTGAGGCACCAGCTAGAGTGATTGCTTCTTTCTTTCAAACTTCTGGAGAACTTGGTGCTGGCACAGCAAACACCGACAAGCGAGTCTAAAGCACAAGGCTCAGAATGACATTACCAAGGCTCATACCAAGTCTCCTAAGGGTTATCAGTGCTAACTATTTTTTTTTCCCCAGCAATTCCCCTGGGACCTTGACAGAAAAGTCACTAATGTCTGTGTCAGAAGTAGCAACAAGATGAGGGCATCCACTAGGTTCTTTAAAAAACTAAAAAAGCAAACTATCTACAGTTAAATAAACTTGTAATAAAATCAAAATGTCACACAGGTACAGCTCAACCCAGGAAAGTATACAGAGACCAGCAATGCAAGTGGAACAGCTAGGAAGGAGAGATAACTGACACTTGCCATTAGAAAAGCATCAAAAGAATCAGAATAGATACCAAGGCAGTTCTTTAATCCATGAAGAAACTTACCTGAGTTTGAAGGATTAAGAACAACACAATAGCTGCAATTTTGAAAGCAGGGCCTAAAGCTGCTAGCCTGTGCCAGTAGGCCCTCCAAGTATTATCTTGAAGCTACTTCCTTGTTCTGTAGTTGTTTTGCAAAAATAAAAGCTGCTAGCTGCCAAGTGGCTTTGAAGGATAAGCTCAAAATGTGTGAACTGCATCTAATCAATGCAGGTATCTGCGAAGCACTAGGAACAACAGCTCTGAGAGACAAAACCAGACCACTTGTCTCAGAACACTCTAATTAGTATGTGCATATTAATCTGAAGTAATTTTATTTCTCTTGAAAGGCAGTCCCGTGCCTGAGGTTTACTCCAGATGCATTGTCTTCTCCATCAGCCAAGATACAAATATATGATACACGTACATATCGACCTGTACATACACGTATACACATACACACACAGGGTGTGCTTGCTACCTGCATGCAGCAGGTAGCTGTACAAGCACATCATAAATATTTATTTATGTTAGTGGTAGCCAAGCAAGACATTTGCCTTAGTTGTTAAACCTGATTACTAAATAAAATCTATCTTCCTAAACTATTTGCCTTGAATACAATTGAAAAAGATACAGCTTGATTAATCGTTTAGTCTGTTTAAAAAGAAAAAAAGTACACAATAATTAAGGCGATTTATTAACATTGGGCTACACTGTTTTAGGTGCTTTTAAGTCTACATTTTGCTATGTTTCTGAATTTCACTGGCATTTTGCTAAAAGCCTTTCTTCTCTAAGGTACAAATCTTTTGGGTGATTATTTTAAAAGTTGTTGCTGAGGTTTCAAAAAGAACAAGAACATTGAGCAACAGCAATGGAAAGGAAATTCTGCCATAAAACAATCTGATTACAACTGAGAAAAGAATGACAAAAATTCTGAAGTCATTTTAGCTTTGCAGAAAATTATCATCTTTTTCCTGGGCCATATTTTACTGTTAATGGCCTAGAATTGTGCAATATCTTATTAGCTCATCAAGAGATAAATAGTGACAGGCAAGAAAAACAAGTTTATTTATGGTAATTTATGTGAGATTTATGAGATGGAGAAGATACCAAAAATATTGAAGCTGCAAGCCAAGGTAAACCAAGTATTTCACAGCATGGTAATAAAATGAAACAAAGCAATATTAAGACATACATAGAGAGAGGTAAGAGACGACAGAAGCAGAGGACTCAACTCTCAATGTGTCCTTTTTACTGAACCACAAAGTCTAACAGTCTTCTTTCCAGAATTCTTCAAAACTGCACAGTCACCTGAATTAAAACTCAGGAACTTTGCTGCTAACAGAGCTGCAGAACCTCCACCTCTTTCAGCAGTGCCAAAGACAAGGAAAGAGAGGTCCTATGGATATCTTCTTATTGTGCAGAAACAAAATTAATCTGATTAGATGACACTATAGTCCTTTCTGTCAATAAGCAGCCACCTTCTTGCATATCTCAGAAATTAAATCAGAAGTGGGCTTAAGAAAAGATCATCTTCAGCTGCAGGAAAATCAAAATGTTTGGTTATAAGCAAAGTCTTTGCTGTGATAGAAGTTGTCCATATTGGAAATGTGTTCTGAGAAACACACCCTGTCGTAAGCTAAATCACAGTTTCTTGTAGAAGCCCATTGAGACCACAGTCTATTTTTGACCAGCACCTCCCTTAGGAAGGACATTTTTCTCACCAACCTGAAACCTGGATTGCAGTCAAGCCTCTATTTAAGAGATTACAGAGATGAGGTCTTTGTAACAGTCCCCCGTTTCCCTTCCTTTGGGGAAGGCTATGGCAGCAGTGAGCCAGATCCAACAATACCTACTAGTCAGTGTGCTGGAGAGCTTTTAGAACTGCATGCTTGCCTTTGGAGCAATGACAGAAGACTGCTGCCTAACTACAAACAGAAGTGAAGCACGTGCACTGATGGTGGGTTAGGGTTAGGGTTAGCGTTTCCGACCAAAGGAAGGACTTCAGAAGCCTGTTTCTGATTATTTGCAAGTCTACAGCTGGCATCATCCTCTTTTGCCTACGTTCCCCATCAAGTCCCAGAGAGACTTAGGGAGCCCTTTACCAAGACTTACATTTGTGATGGTTTTTATTCAGGAGACCTATAGAAATGACACAGGAGTGATGGGCTACAACACTAGCTGACATCATGCAGATGGGACTCTTGCACTTATTCAAGAAAAAGGGACTGAAAGCAGATGGCCAATGCAAAGTCTCAGAAGAACAGTGCCAGACTGCTTCCCTTTGTCTGTGGGGTTATGTGAGCTTGAGCAAAGCCAATAAAGGTAGGGTGTGAAGGATGATTACAGAAAATAATGCTGACATTCACTGTGCAACTTACACAAGACAATGTCTATATAAGGTATGAGATGAAGACACTTCATTTGATATAGCAGCTGTAATCACATTTTCAGAGTTGATAAACTCCTGCTAGACAACTCTTTTTCTTTTTTCAGCATCAGCATTGCTGCAGTCAGATCGCCAAAGCATCACAGCCTGGACACAGGAACACGTTATGGAACGACAGCAGAAAGCATGTGTTTGCTTGGGTACACATGGCTTTCAAAGGCAATTGACTCTGCTTACTGGGACCAATACATAGTGTTGATGAGTTCTTGGCATCATCGCTGTTCTTACTCAGAATGCTCACACCCTGAAAAAACATGATTCACGTTCACCTACTTCTTCCTCCTCTGGAATCAGGATCCTGCCACTGCAATCCATGCTTGTGTCACCTTCAGAAGTAATCTTCTACCTTGAAGCTTGCAAAAAGATCAAGATGAAAATGGTGGCTGATTCATCATGTTGAGGTTCTCCCGTTCAGAAGTGAACGGAGAGCATATCCCATTGGTCCTCTGTGGCCTGTATTAGCCCCAGCTACAGAACTGAGTCAGGATTCTGGTCTTCTAACGTGCTCTGTCCAAGCTACCACAATGACAACTTGCAAGTACAGAAAGGAAACAGCAAGCTGAATTTTGACAGAAATAGATTAAAACCTGAAGTGTGCTAAAACATTGCACAGGGTTTGTCAGAAGTCAGCTAATTGCAAGTTTCTTGGCATATAGAGCTGCCAGCTAGAAGGTTCAGCCATGTCCCATACAGCTAATAGCAGAGATAGACATATAAGTTAAAATTACTCCCTATATGATATTCTCTGAACTGTAAGTAATATAAGAATCTCTTTTCACTCCATCTCAAATCACTACTACTCTAGATTAAAGGTAAATGAAAATGCATCTCTCTTTATTTGTAGTCCTCATCATTTAAAGGAGAAATTTACTTGTCCAAACACAGGCACCTTTCAGGCCTGTAGGATGCCCTAGGCAAGGTAAGTCGCTAGCCAAACAGGAGAGGTGCACTTTCTGCAGCAACAGAAAGGATGCCCTTTAATGCTCAGAATGAGCCAATGTACACAGAGCTGAATCCCAGGCCAGTGCCTCCTAATTCCAAGGTAAAACACAATACCTCCAATAATCCAGGTATTCTGGTTAACCTGTGTCTGTTATCCTGGTTTAAATAGAATAATTTTACAAGCACGAAATCCAAAGAAACCTTTTCTTCCTCATAAAAGCTGGCTCAATCTGAAAAAGTAAGCAATAAAATGCTCATCCAGAGAGGCATTTTTGGTTTTGTCTTCTCACTGGAAACATGCAGTGCCAAACTCAGTTGCACGACTGGAGTCTGCAGTTACTGTGCCTGCATACACCGAGCCAGAACAGTTAGACCTGCAGTAGAGCAGTGTGTTTACAATTCCAAATATTCCCACTGGGGATACTAGATGTTTTCCTCAGTCAGCAAAACCCAGTTTGCTTGACCTGACCCTGCTCCTGCCCTGTTTCCCAAGCCTCAGTTAGCACATCACAGCCTTTCTGTTTAAGCACTGGGGCTGAAGAAGAGACTTTTACCCTTTGTAAGTAACACTTCTCCTTGTCTCCCTTTCATAGAGAAGCACCAAAACTTCTCCAAAAAGCACATCAAAAGCCAAGACCTTTTCACTTCAGAGTAAGATACAAGCTTTGTGCAGCTATAAATGAAGTCCCTGCCTGTCTTGTGTCTTGATTTACATCAACATGCCCATTCCTTTGAGAATTGCCAAGAGGCCTTGGGGAACTTGGGCTGCCACATTCTCCCAGTGATGCTTTGGGAGTGGTCTGTACCAGGCAGTGCTGCCTAGTGCAGGTCAGGGATGATGACACAAGCACTTCACAACAATCTTTAAATATGATTCTTTTACCAAAAACCTTAGCAGAGAAGATGCACATGCAACCATTCTCTGAAGGCTATGGTTAAGTGTTAAGAAACCAGTTGTTTTGACCTCAAAGATGCTTAATATTTTCTGTATTATTCTTTTCTTCTCACAACAGAACAGAAGCAAATTGCTGCAGAGGGAAAAACATTTATTTCCATGAAGAAGAGAGGTGAATATTTACATGAGTAAAACTTTAGAAACTAAATTGCATAAGACAAATTATATGGGTTCAAGATGTTCCCGCTCAAGACAGAGCCCATGACAGAAACAATGTCAATTTTAAACCATTAACTGGCATGCATAAAGAAAACCTTTTGAGGATCATTACCAGATCCTGGTTGCTGTTTTGCCCAAATTATCTTGGCTATTTACATGTCCCAGCCACTGAAGAGCAACTGGCAAGCAAAGCTGCTATCTGTCCTCATGCTTCCCACACTATAAAGTGGCTCCAACCACAACCCCACAGAGTGTGTGCATACATCAGAAGGTTTATCAGTTCTTAGTCTACAATGGCAACCATACCTGCTGTACATTTTCAAGTCATGCAGACCATTAATTTCAACTCTTACAGAAGCCCTGCTGCAGTGATTCAGAATGTGTACATTCATCTGCCTAAGATTTACAGCTGTCTGAACAAACTGTTGTTTCAGGTCATGCAGACCATTGATTTCAACTCTTACAGAAGCCCTGCTGCAGTGATTCAGAATGTGTACATTCATCTGCCTAAGATTTACAGCTGTCTGAACAAACTGTTGTTTCAGCCTTATTATAAAACAAGACCTAAAACATATGCTCTGAAAAATGTTCAGTATGTCATTCTACCTCAACTAACTATTTGAATCTTGTCTTTTGAAGCTGAGCAGAAATATATCTGTCATAAACTGTATTTTGAGAGCCTGAAATGGGCAGTGTCTATTGCATAGGACTCATCAGCACCTATTTTGCAGCTTGTCCCAACTTAGTTAAAAGCACACCAAAAACATCTCGATTGTAGTTTTTATTTACATTCTAACTGCTCAGACCCTTTAGTATAAACTTTCTTCATCAGCAGTACTTCTCTACCATTCTGAAAAGGTTTGATGCTTCTGTTTGCACTCCTTCACTCTGTCATCTTGGCTAAGTACAGTTAGAGATTTCGCAGAATAACGTTCTGGTTAAAAACAATGGATGTGAACCAAGATAATACAGAATTCTAAGGATTTAAGGCTTCTGTTTCACCTGAGCTTCACACATGTATCATCTCTAATATTTTCTCCCTTAGCTTATTACCCAAGGTCTGACTGGGAAATACTGCAATGAAGTAATTAGATGCCATAATGTCACTGAATAGCTTTCCAAACATTTGGCTGGACTACTTGCCTGCCTTAAGTCTCACAGATAATTCTGTTTGTTGGTACCATTCCATATAACATCTATTTGTGATCCATAATCTAGTTAGGTCTAGCCTAGAGCTATTTAACTCTGCAAGTTGCTGAACTTTCCCCCTATTCATGTTTAGTGTTATTGTTCTGCTGACTTATATGGTTCAGTATAGCCTCAATTATGTCTGTACTGCTTTCCTTTTACTATGCTGCCCTTGTGCATTTTTACAGGTAAATCCTGCTACCAAGGGGTAGGTGCAAAAGAATCATGATGCTTAAGTGCTGTGTAGTGTCAGCCAGCTGACTCACAGATGAAACATGGAAGAATGACTGGCTCCCAAATGTCTGCAGATACACACCTCCCAAAGGATTAGTCTGTTAATTGTTTCCTACAATTGGAAGAACTTGTTCTTGTTACAGCAGCAAAATGCAAGAGCAGGTAATATAGAGCTTTTCCTTGTAACTGGGGACAATAGAAAAGATGCAAAAAATGTCAAAAAATTCTTACAAAGAAAAATTAAGAAGCAAGAAGGAAAATAATTTTGAAGGTATTGTGCAAACGCATGTATAGTTCAAAAGCAAGGACACCAGTGTAAAAGCAGACATGAAAACACAACTTCTGCTGTGGGACAGAACTGACAATGTCAATTTTAAAGAGAAGTTGTACATGTTTTCCTTATTAAATGATATGCACCAGGCCTGACACCATGGAAAAAGATGACCTTCCCTCCACCACAGGCAGTACAGTTATGTATGTACCTGTCATATTATGCTGTAGTAACTCTTAATTCTTAGGATGAGCCACAAAGACATCATTTCATTTCAACCAAACTGGAAGACTAGCATTTCTTGGAAGCAAAACAAAGAATCAAGTCTATCTAGCCATCATCCAGTGAATATATTATCATTCAAATATTTATTTTCTGTACATTTTCTTACCTTATATTCTGCACTGAGGAATTTAGCGATTCATCTGGAACATTACTGGTTACAGCTGCTTGTCCTTCTGTGAGGGGCTGCAATGGCTGCATTACATGAACTGTCCGAAAAAGCTGAGCAGGTTGTACTGGCTGTGGAGATTGCATTGTCCTCAAAACTTCTGAACTCAAGCCAGGTGTCTGCTGCTGTACAACTTCTACTTGCTCCTTCAGCTTAGCAGGCTTTGAGTTTCCTGTTTTTACCACTGAGGCTGATCCTCCCTTTGTTCCTGCATTTGCAGACGCTCTAGTTCTGCTTGGTTGGTTTCTGTTGGCCACAGCAGGTGAGAGCAGAGTTGAATCTGATGATTCAGTGCTAGGGCTGGCATCTTCATCATCAATATAGATGAGATCTTTTGGCATGTCTTTAAATTGATACACCAGGCGCTGACCTTCTACTTTAGCAAGGATTCCCCTTTGGTAATAGTATCTGTTTAAAGTGCACCCACAAGTTACACAGATTTTCTGACAAAAACAAAACAAAGCAACAAAACTCCCAGAAAATAAGCACAGCACCAGCAAGCCAAAAAAACTTTTATGTGTCTATTTTCTTCATTATAAAAAGTGGCCAATTTAATAGTGTACTTTTTTCCTCAAACAACTTTTTTTTACTGGTATTTCATGCCACCTTTTAACTTCAAACTTAGATAACTCTGAGGAGAAAGAAAAGAACTCCATGACTTGGCAGATCTGCTATCAACTCACATTTTGTAAAAAGTTGCATGAAACTTTCAATTCTCCTTTTGACTCCTACAGTTCTTTCAATAATCTGAATTCCTGTTTATTCACCAGTGAGCAAAGGCAGACATTTTAGCTACAACAAAGCGAAGGGAACAGGACAGGAGAGCACTATTTCTGTTATATTTGCAAATTAGTAGGATAACTTGAAATTATGCACACCAAGGTGGGGCAAAATGAAAAGAAATGCATAAAACTCAGTTGGACAATTATCAATGAGCTGATAAGACTGAAGCTCCATGGTTGTCTATTTATTTTGCACAGTTTTTTATGTATGAGAAAACTCCCAGCCTGACAGGCAGTGCCACATGATTCTATGTTTTAGAACTGTCTGTACACACAAGTTCAGAGAAATGAAACCAGAACTGAATTCTAAAACTGTATTTTCCTTTGGAGATGGAATTGTAGGCAACAAGTAGAAATAACTTAATGAATACACATGAATGTTGGCAAGTTTTTTTTGAACACAGATTGAAATTTTATGTGAAAGGTTTGCCCCACTTGAAATCTTCAGTCTCTTACTTGTCTGTGTCTGACTGTGAAGATGCAGTTTTGCAGCAGTACTGAAAAACATCTATGCTGAAACGGAAGGTGACTGATTTGGAATTGAGGTTAGTGAGGGTTAATTTTAGTTAGCTAATTTATTTTGCTGAAATAAGATTTTCATTTCCCAAACTAATAGAATACTAGGTTTTTTTGTTACTCAAATTAAATGAGGCATTTAATGCATACAAACATTAAAGCAACAAAAACAATCTACTATTAAAAATGAACATACCTGAGAGCTCTACCCATTGTTTCATAATTCATGTCAGGTTTGTTTTTGTGTTTTCCCCACAACCTGGACACAGCTTTGGAATCCACCAGTTTGAAAATGCCCTTCTCTCTTTGAGTCCATTTGATATATTTAGGACATGTAGCTTTGTCCTGGAGCAGTGCTAGTAAGAACTCCCAGAGATAAATTGTATTTCCTAGAATAAAAGAATTTCAGAAACAAAAAAAAACACCAAACAAACAAAACAAAACAAAGAAAAAGAAAAGAAAGAAAAAAGTTATTTGGCCATATTTTATTTTATTAATGCTGCAAATAATCTTAAAATTGAGAAGCTGATATCTTTACAAAACACATTATATCATCAAGACTAGGAAATAGTGATGGAAGGGCATGGGAAGGGAAGTTATTATAATCTTGTGAGTTATAATCTAGGTGTGCAAATACCACAGCCACTCTGTAACCTACAGCCAATGTGGGACCACCAACATTAGACAGCATTAGCCACCCATGTGCCCTTTTCCATCCTGGCTAATCCAGTTACAGAAGCAGTCACTATTGCTTTACCTTGAAAAGAAACATGTTCAGTTCTACCCCCTAAAAATGCTGGAAATTAAGCTGTTGCTTAGATGCTTTGCTGAATCGAGGTGAGAGTTATAATCCTTTAAAAGGCTAAACAAAATCCTTGCCTTTAACAATAAGATTTATGCGGGGCAATCGGTGATATATGCTGTGGCAGGCAAACCTTCAATAACAAAGTACAGAAAAAAAGTAATTTTTTTTTTTAAATCCAGTGAGTGCTTGTGCTTGCTGGTAGACAATATTCAAGTTTCATTTTACAAACAAGTGGGGACAAACACTTTTATATGAAAATCCATCACATCTGTTCAGTGTTTGCCACATATAAAGAAAGAGTATTAAAATCACAGATGGTGAATACTTAAAACTAGCACAAAATTTGCATTTTTTTTTCCAAAACCACATTTAAGGAGTCTAAACTCATGCGACTAATAAGACCTTTTTTTTCCTGGTTTTTTTTAAGGCTTTTGGTGTTTGATGTTCTTTTGGGAATCTGAAGCTGCACATAAGCTTCTTAGTTGTTAGTCTGAGAAAGCAAGAAAAAACTTCTTGTATCACCTCCCACAAGTATCTGTGCAAAAACAGCAAGGATAGCATGTGCTGAAGTTTCACAAAAAATGATGCCCAGCAGATCAGAAGGTGACGGGATCTCTTTTCATAGCTTCAATTTAGCCCAGCAGACTTTTTCAACTTTATGACCATCAGTCTGAACCTTATTCCAGTAAGAGATCTCTTAAAAATTGAAATTCCTATAATACTAAACTATACTTAGCAAATATTCATCAAAGTCATCAGCATTGCCTATAAAAAATGTTAACAGCTCCTTCAGCAGGTGGAAGCTTGAAAAATGAGCATTCCTAGAGAAAAAACACTGCCTTTGCAACAAATGTCTCCCAGCTTACATAAACCAGCCTCCCAGCCCTCAGATACCCCAAAGGCAAAACCAGACTGCTTAGGCAAGGCATAGTGTCAGGCAGGAGTGAGAGCATTCCCAGCCATTTACCACCTAATCCAGGCTGTTTTTGTTGTAGTCTAGACTAAAATGCTCAACTGCATCAAGGCAACCTGAAAATTTGCCACTGCTTAGCCACTAAAAATCACTGTGAAGAAGACTGGCTGCAAAAAACAGGTTTGCTTTACTTACAGGCAGAATATTTAACCTCCTCTGAGTCACAGCAGAAAAAGAAATATGTGGAAAATTCAGTTTTCTATGCATCATATCATGTATTTGTATGGAGAGCTTGTAATTTTAGCATACAAGTTCCCCCTAGGTAACAGACAGGCAGCTCTTGTGATTTTCTAGCTGCTTCCCTGACACGGGTGGTCGTACTACTATGCTTTTTACTTCAATTTTGTGTTCCTAAAAATGCAAAACAAATGGGTTTCATAACAAACAGTGGTTTGAGGCAACATGCTCCATTTTATTCCCTTCAGAATTAGCAACTTTGTAACAATGGACAAATGTGAATTATGGAGTATCCTTGCTATCATCGACAGAACTATTGGACTCTTCCACCTTTTTAGTTTGTGGCTGGTTGCTTCCATATTTTCTATAATTTCATCTGAGCACCACTTGGATGTTCCTCTGACACTCCATTCATTTTTACATAAAAATCAGGTATAATTAAAAAAAATACAACAATATATATTTAAAATTGATGGCATCAACATGTAAAATATTTATTGATTGCCAACAGGTTTTTTTCTTCCTGTTATTGCAGAAAATGCCTCTTCCAAAGGAAAAAAACCCCGACACACTCATTTGTCAGAGTAGAGATTTTTCTGACCTCAAGAGTGCGGCATTCTTTTGCCACCAGTGTCCAGGACTGGCTAGGCTGCTGGCCTGGCAAGTACTGCATGCATGCAACCACATCTGTCACATGCAGCAGGCCCTTGTGACACAGGGGAGGCTCATTTGCAGCTCCCACCAAGAGCAGCACAGCTCGCTGGGGCTGGGATCAGCCTTCCCTTCTAACACCAGCCTGGGCACAGCTGCAGCCTTGGACCCCACAGCAAAGCAACCCTTTTGTCAAAGCTGATGACAAAACTCACAGGCACTGCTGAACACTTCAGGCTGAGAAATTATTTATTGTATGTTATATGGCATTTCTTTTTATTTCTACCTTTTAAACACAGAAGGAATGAAAGTATCAAACCCCCAAGTTTTCTGCCCAAGTGTTCAAGCTGTGCTATAAATTTTTTCAAAATTCAGGACTTGGTACTTCCTGCTGCCAACTGGCAGGCTTGGTTAGCCTCATGCAAAATTAGACACATACAGATGGAACACATTTGTAAAGATCATCTGTCAAAATAACCACAGCCTAAGAAGCATTAATATAATGCAAAGCACTCCCCAAGACTTCACTCAAAACACAGCAAACTCTGCAGGGATGTTGAAGAGTTTCCAAGAACCCTTGCAACTAAAGTGACAAATACATTATTCTCCCAAGGAACTGTGTATTTCACCAAGAAAACTCATGTGCTCATCTTTTCCTTGCCTTGAGATGTTAACCACCCCTGAACACAAGACCTATGTTTGCATCACAAGTGAACTGGTGATTTTTTTTTTCTTTTTACAGATCACTCAGAAACTATGTTCTCCTAAACATTTTGGTGACAACTATTTGGACTTACCCTTTCCATCTTTGTTTTTCTTTTTCACAGATATGTTTGGAGTTGTAGTAGGGGACTCAGAACGAGACGGTTTTGGTTTCTTCCCTGAAATAAATCATCAGTAAGTCAGCGGCAGCTTAAGAAAAAAAAATTACCTAAAAAGGGAAGAGATTTGTTTCTCCAATTCAAAAAAGATTAAATTTCTACCAACTTGGGAACTTAGTTCTGTGCTGAACTTTTTTTTTTCCTATGGCAGAATAGACCTCCTATACTCTTACCGTACTTCTAAAAAAAGACTACAGTATGCACTTTCCTGAAGTCCATGCACATCGGAAATTTCTGTGGCTATTTAGGTACTCTTAAGAGCACTTGAAACAGACAAGAAGAGAAAAATAAGCTATTAACTATGTGTAAGGGCTTAAATAGGAAAAGCTAGATAAAATACAGAGCACTATCATGTTCACTCATTGCCAAAATGGAAGGTAGGTACAAAACAAGCTTGTCTCCTTGTTTAATCTATTGCAAGTACACTGCCAGCAGCAAACTACACTGTCATCTGAAACAAACATTTTTTTCCATCCTGTTGTCTTTTACACCACTTTTACAGTGGCTGCAGGTAAAGGGAAGTCACTTGTTTATGAAAATCAGAAGAAACAGTACCAGGCTCTGAAAAAATACCAAGTTTTAAAGTCATAAGCATGGTGTCTCTCTGGTGAGGAAGACTAAAAGGAAGAAGTTACTTAAAACTGATTACAAAAATGAAGAGCACCCATTTGAAAATGTTGAGAAATCAACTACTGACACAAAAGGGAACAAAAAAGCTCAGTCATGCTGAAATATTTTTCAATATAAAACCTTGAACCTATTCTTTTATTAGTTCATATTCCTTGCAATGGCAGCTTTTACAGGTGATGTAATTAATCAGAAAAATTCAGAACATTCTTTTGAAATAAGAATTTATCTTACCAGGTTTTGCAGGGACCCTTTACTACACTGACATTACTTATATTGTTACCTGTAATCTTTTGAGAGGTAGAATAGACTAAGCATATACAAGACTCAGAGAAACATATTTCTAGTTCAGATAGAACACTGCCGTAGTTTAAAATCTAAAGATATTTTTCTTTCCTGTATTTATTGAACTTCAAAAGAGTTGATGTTCTAAAGAAGCAAGACCAAAAGGTCTGTGCAATCCCATACACTCTAACTTTCCAGTTTTGGTTTTGTTTTGAGGGGCGGTTTAGTAAGGAAACAGCTCTGCTGCAGAGTGAGAGTGTATTTTCACTAGCTCTGAAAAAAACCCAACAGCTCAGTGCCAGCCAGCACTATTTCCTTCATCTTAAACTGCCAGTATCTACAGAGAAATCGTAAGAAACTTCAGCTTAAGCACTCACTTTTTGACATAAGAAATCTTGCTAAGTCCATCTTTATACCTCTTTTTTTTTTTTTTTTTTTTTTGACAGTGCATGGGGGAGGAGAGGCATAGGATAGTTAGTTGAGAGAGCTACAGTGAGTAAACAAAACCTCTAATTTTCTTGCTTTCATCCAGACAGGATTCATGACTGAGAATGGGACACAAATGACACCCACTGTTTTGGCCAGTAATGTTCTTGATTTGAAAGAAGGTAGGAGGGAGGAAAACCTACAACATTATTTTCTTAATATATCATGACATGAAAGGATAAAGAACTACTGGAGTACATTTTTAGCAGCTTTTCTCCACTCACCACTGAAGGTTGCAGAAATGTCTGTTTCACCTAAAATGTCCTAGATGAAGTCACAGGCAAGGATGAACTTCTAACACACAAGAAGCCCCTGAGGGTAACTTTGGCTAAGTGCTTTCCCCGTTAGACCTGTGGGAAGACTCTGTTGTCTCATTTCCTTTCTCGAGCAGGTGCAAATGTAGCCATCAAGGAGTAGGGAGTGTTATTTTGATATTACTAATTTAGACATTATGTCTAAATGAGTTCAGTTCTTAAAAGTAAATGAAGTGGATGAGAGCTCAATTAGGTCAGGACTGAACTACACCTAGTCAGCTTCAGGAAACTTAAGTACTGATCCCATATAATTTATGCACTTCTGATTAGAGATAGCCTAGGCTACTACATATGAATACGACTGCAAGAGAAATTCTAGGCTCTCTTTCTTCAGCCTAGACTGCTTCAGGACTCTGTAGATGTCATCCAAAATTAGAAACCAGGGAAGGACGTGAAACTTTTTTACAGAAATGTATTGCTGTTACTGCTGTATATCTGGGCTAGAGATAGTTTATTTGGATCATTTCAGACTACACTGTAAGCTATAATCTCCAGGCACTGACTGATACCATCAAAAACAGTTAACAGAGACACATCAGATATGTTTCCTTTGTTTAAAAGAAGATATTTTTTTAAAGCCCATTAAGCATGCTTCTTCCTTTGCTTCAATAGAGCATGAATTTGTTGTTTTTCAGAGTACAACACTACATTCCTTTTTAGGAGAGAATTTTACAAAGAGGAAGGATAAAAAAGTGTGCAAGACCTAAGCCTTATGTGGGCCTACCATAATTTTGGACAGCTAATTGGATTTACAATTGGTGCTTTCACTTTCCTATTTCCATGGCTAAAAAACATTTGATGTTAGAAATTCATGCTACAAATTAAGGTGACATTAGGCAGTGAAACGTTCATCCTGATTAAATATCTTATACTGCACCAGAAAATGTAAAATCCATTTTCTTGCACTATTTTCAATGAGTTGTGTTTAAAAAAATGCATGTACAAACAAAATAAATGACATATATCTAAAATATTATGTATATAACTTATGTGACCACCTGCTGCCAGATATCCTCCACAGCAAAAACAGAACTGAAGGTATTAATATAGCAAATTTCCAAGTTTCTTTGTCTGACATTCCTTTGTTTTCCTGTCTTTCTGATCCATAGCTGAGCAGCTCAGTGCTCAGACATTCATGAGTACAAACGTCATGCTGGACACGGGTTTGGAGTTGAGCAGATGGGTGGATACAGCTTTGCTGCTGCAGCAATAAGGCCAAAAGAAAAGGAAGTGAAACCACCACGTTGCTTCTGATGAACATTCTCTTGGAGGAGCTCTACTTGCCAGTGCCATTCTGGCCCAGTTAGCTGGCAATGCTCTGCACTGTGAATCTCTCTAATTTTAGCTAATGGCTGATACATATATATATGCTAGAAGTCTATAAAAGAATCTATAGAATCTATAACAACCCTATAAAATCATGAGTGATATGGACAGGGCAAAACATTCACCATCTTTTGCCATGCCTCAGAACTGGCTAAAAGAAGGGAAACAGACTGTACTTTAAAAAAAATAACCTACAAACAAACAAAAACCCAAAAGAACCCCACCCACACACTGCACATTATCCTAAAGTGCACTATAAACTTGATAACATTTTGCAGCAATTTTTGTACAACAAATCCCCAGACGTTTTGAAGTAACACTTTTACATCATTCAGACCATACCATCTACTTTACAAAGCCTTGAGTTCACTGAAAACTAGCACTTAATGAAACACTAAGCTGATGCATCTTTTCCAGCTTTTTTTTTTTTTCCTAAAACAAATACACATTTTCTGTGAAGAAACTGGTTTTCTAACCTACAGCTAGGGAGGAGGAAGGAGTGGGAGTAAGCAGAAGCAGAACACGAAAGAGTATGAAAGCATCAAACCAAAGAGGTTAAATGTCTGGCAGACAGCAGCTCCTTGTTTTGACCCACACAGCAGTCAACATTAAAAAAGAAGAAGGGAAGAGAAGAACAAACAAAACCCTCCAGTTTAAAATCCTCTTACAGTTGGTTATCTCACAGTAGTGTGCACAGCCACAGCAGCTTCCCCAGCAGCGCTTTCAGGCAGCTGCTGGTAAAGCTCTCCTCCACAGCAGTTTCAGTTCAGCTTTCTCAGGGGAATCAGAGACTTCCTGAACCACACCCATCCCTGTGAGACCTTGTGACACACAAGGGGCTCAGGAGGCTTCCCCAAGATATTCACAGGCCAATATGGTCTCTCTCACACATAACAATTCCCAACATTTGGAATTAGCAGCAAAAGTACCAGCAAAAATGCTCCTGTTCCACAGGAATATGGCTGGGTAGTAGAAGCCTTATTCTGGAAGGCTATTACACAGGGGAACCTGTAAAAGTCCTCATGCTCTAAGGTGAGCCCTAGTTCCAGAAACATAACCTCCTTTGTTTATTTTTCCTTTTATATTAATTTATGGCAAAAACTTTTAACACCTATATGTACAGCATGATCTCTTCCTGCAGACAGCAGCTTCAGAGCCTCTAATGGGGTCCATGCTGAAGCAGCGTGGGAAAACAGGAGCAGAATGTCTGGCTAACACCACTTCATGACTCTTTGGCACAGCACTGACTACAGTGGAACATCACTATGTAAATGTAATCTACTACAAATGGGACTAACACTTACTATAGCATGCAGCTATTTTATTAATAAGAAAAAAAAATCAATAATATTTAAGAAAAGCTAAAAATCCCACCCCATTCTCATCCCATATTCTCAACTGATCAAGTATCTTCAGTTGAAGCTAAATACAAGCTACTGAAAGTACTTCTGGATTCTCAGCAGCAAAATCTCTGTGGCTCGTATGGCAATTCTGCTCCGAAGAAGAAACTATAAATTGGAACAAGCAGAGATTCCTGTAGGATAAGGAATCTTCTACAACATCATTAGTCTAAGCACCTGTACATGTGCTCACACTGTGCAGGAAGAAAATGCTTTCCCCTGCATTTCTGGCTGAGCTCACTCAGTTCTTTTGACCTGACACCCCGAATGGTTCCAGACACTCACAAGGAAGATACCATGCCACCCCCTACTCTCTTGCTCCACACTGCTGTTCTCAGGTAGCATCTTACCTTTTTTCTTCTTTGGTTGTTCAAATTCTGGAGTCTCTGGTGACTCAGCATAAGGGTCTGGGGCTTGGTGAACTTCCACCACCTCAGGGATCCCATCGAGCGTGACTGACACGTGTGTGATAGGAGGCACCATTTCTTCCTCTTCAGTTGCACCAAACATAGCTGCTTAAGGGAAAGGGACAAAAGGAGTATTTTCACACAGCCATGAGGACTTTAAAAAGCTGGCTTTAGAGCAAAAAATCAAAAACAGAATAAAATCGAACTATAACACTTGAGTTTTTCAAGTGTATAATTCAATATGTGTGCTGACATTTTACACAGAAGCACTACTAAAATAGAACAAGTTAATGACAGAACAGACCCCCCAAAAAGCACATTTATCTGCTGATCACACATTCATATTTAAGGCAATCTCTAACTCGAAGTGTATATTCTTTTATCCTGACAACATAAACATCAACCAAACAAAACACTGCAATCTAAACCATCCAACTTCATTCACACCTTCCCTGTGTAATTTTTGACTCTTTCCTTTCCTGTTCAACATGGTTATGACAATGAAATCCTTCACTGCCTACAATACTGGACTTCTGATACCTAAACTATGTACATACAGGCTCTCTAGAAATTACAAAAAAAAATCTTACCAATTCCATGCAACCACGCTGCAGTGAATCCCTCCTCCTTTAACAAACAAACCTGGCAAATAAAGATTGGATTTTCATAAAAAAAAACTTACTCATTCTTTTTTCATCCAACATAGGATCAGGGGAATCCATATTAAGAAGTGCTTCAGCAGCCTCAATTGTTTCCATTGTTTCATCTCCATCATGACAAGATGCTTCAACTAAAAGCAAGGGAGAAAAAAAAATTAAGAAGATACAAACTAGACTTAAAGCTTAACACGATATTTATTTGTATTTCATTCCCAGGGAAAAAAAAAGAGATAGAGATAGAGGTGGTCTTCTACTAGACCTGTAGCAACAGATTAGCTGGGGAGAAAATGCACGCTGCAATAATTTCATTTATTTACTACAGTACATTTTTCAGATTGCATGTATAAAAAAACCCCAGACAAACCCTTTGTTTCTGCCTCATCTTTCTAACCCCTCTCTTTGCTGATCAAGCACTGTAGTAAAATACAACACCCATGAAACTAAGAAATATCACTACCACAAGCAATATTCCAGAGATCATTATTTAAAAATACAATATTGCTAACTTCTTATGGTGCTCCAATGTCTCATCCACAGAAAAACGTGTGGATATGACATCTGAAGACATGATTTAATGGTGAACCTGGGGTGGTTCTGGGTTGACAGTAGGACTTGAGAGGTCTTTTCCAACCCTAAAAATTCTGTGGTTCTATGAACAGAAGTGAATTCCATAAATAATAGATGCCCATCAAAACTCTCCAGCCATTTATCCAGGAGGAGAGAAAAAATATTGCACAAGTTCTGTTAGAGACCATGTAATGTAAAGGTGTAGCTGAATCCTAAACCATTCAAATTCATGGGAATTACATGTGCAGGCTCCAAGAACACACTGGAAAGCAAACATGAAACATGAAAGGCAATATAAAAGGTTGGCAAGCTCTTCAAAATTTTTGACTTCTAGACAATTCCTCATCAATCTCATGAGGACAGCCATTAGCCAAACCCAAATGTCCTGAGCATTAATTATAATGTTTAAGGTACATGTTAAGGTCATCTGGGGGTACTTAACAAAAAAATCCGATAAAATATCATTTTGCAAAAAAACCAGCTGGTTTAACTGGAAGAGTACTTTACCAGATGATTTTTTCAAAATAACTGTAGCATGAAAAATAACATAGATGGCAGTTCCTGGTACCATAGACATTTAAAGCTGTTTAACACATCCTTTTAGAAATTACTGTTTGTCAAATGGAAATTGTTGGGCCAGGCTTCCTTATCCTTTGATGTGAATTTGATGCAACTTTGGGGAATTCACTTGCATCTGACAGATTATAGAAAGGGCTGCATTAGTATTCCCCTCTCTAGGACACCAAGAAACCTCAGTTACTTTCACAGGCTTTACACCCCTCTCCCTGTTAAGCTTTGAGGAATTTTGGGTGGGGCAGTCACATTATAAAACAAAACAAAACCAAAAACCACACTGAGTGACAAAGCAAGCAAATATACATGTTAAAACACAATGTAATGATTTTGGAATATTTTTGCACACAAAAGCAAGAAGTTCATGCCAAGACTTCTATATTTTAACCTTAAAAATATCACAGTAACAGCAAGCAACCAGTTCAATTAGCACTAAGCAATTGCATAATTTAAAAAACAACCAGCCAAAACCCCCTGGTTTCATCACAAATGCTTACAGCTTCAGCAATTGTATCAGCAAAGATGAATGCTGGCATCCACATGTCAGCCCTACCTCTTCCACCAACTGTGATTTACAGAAGCCTCCTTACTTTCTGGATTTTCCCTTGAGGCCCTAGTGTAAAAGGCTTAGACTAATGCAGAATAAAAAAGACAGGTGTTGGGAACCCCTGATCCACACAGCAACTCACCCTGTTTTCTACAGGACCACCTCCACCCTATATCTGACAAAGACATTCAGACAGTTAGGGATCTGCACCTTCTGGCTGACACCTCCAAACAGTCTTAAGAAATGAGAAACACAGAGCTGGTGAGGACAGCATGAAGAGAAAGTGAGTATGGACTATGGTCCTGACCTTGGAAGCAAGAGAGGGCAGCAAATCCCTGACAATTTTGTCAGGCAGCTGACAGGCTCAGGAGCTCAGACCCAAGGCATCTCAGCCCCAAGAGCCATACAGCATCTCTAGGGAATGCCTGTCCATCAGGAGGAGACAGAACATGCACATCCCATTCAGTCTGTGGCCATGTACACTCTTGGACTGGTGCTGGTGACTTGATGCTTCTGGTTCTGTTTTATCTGGATGAGAACTTCCCATATCATCTACCAGCATTACCAAGACCTCAAGAAGATGTCACATCATACAAATATAAATAAATGCACACAGCACTGCCAAAGCAACTCTTCTGAGTTCTGACACTGTCTGAAAGGCTGGAGCATGGCAGGCTAAATCATGCAGCATGGCTGGCTTACCACATACAGTTTTAAAGCCAGCAGTGGCACCCCCAGGTTCTCAGTTCTGCAGGCAGAGAGGAGAGAGCTGCTGCTCTTTCCCCAGAGACAGCTGCAGGACGACCAAACCCACCTGCTGGCTTTCAGGGACTAAGGTGATGGAGCAGAGCCAATCCTTCACTCTGAATAATAGCAGGTGAGGGAGAGTCTAAAAGCTTTACATCACTGTTACACCATGTGGCTACAAGTTTACCATCCCTATCCAAGACTAAAGAAAGGAATTTATAATAGCCATATAAATAATGTAAATATAGAAATTGATATAATTTGTTGCTCACAAAAAATTTAAGCATGTTAAGGAAACTTCTCAGTCTGACCATCCATGAGACTCCCTGGCAGTCACATCCCAAGGCCAGAGGCTGCCTCTGCTGGGTCAAAGCCCCTTCACAGCAGGTGGCTCCTGTGACCCACGTGTCCCCCTTGGCTCCCCACACACCCATCCACAGTCAGACCAGCTTTCCTTGCCAGTTCAGCCCTGGGTTTCCCACAGCAGAGTCTCGGATGTCTTTTTCCATAAAGCCATTTATTCACAGCACAGTAACACAGGAACAGCCTGAGCTGGTGCCCCAAGGAAGACCCCAACCAAGGAACCCCTGAGATTTTACAGCCTCACGTCCACCTGTGGGCAAGTCTCCTCTTTCTCTCTGTGTCCATCCACCCCACTGCTGCTGCTATCACCTTCTTCTCCAGCAACTCCCAGCTTCTACAGTCTCTCTCACTGTTCATTGCCTGCCTGGCCCTGGTGCCCTTTGTTAGTTATCCCAAAGTTTGGCAGCTCACAGCCTCTTGTGTCTGGCTCCCACCCAGAGCTCAATCTGCATCTCGCTCTGCAGCTTGCCAGCAGAGCTACCTGGACGAGACATATTCCTCTGCAAGCAGCAGCTCTATCTTTCCATCCACAAACACAGGATAGCAAAATTAAGTTTCTTAACCACTCCACTGCTCTTGCCAACACCCTTCAAGCCTCTTACGAGAAGATGACTTCACAAAGTGGTTTAAGACCAGTTAATATTTCCCTGTTGCTGAAAGAACCAAGGGTTGTGGTTTTTCCTCCCATCTCTGCCCCTGGTCCATGATCCAAACTTCTGTCACTTGACACATGCCAGGCTTCACACTTTTTTGATCACATAGTGAGACAACTGAGATTTATAAAATGTCTGAAAAGGTTCTTGGGGTATTGCTGAGTTTGCAAGTTGAATTACAAGAACTCAAGAGCTAATACAAACAAGGTGTGGGGCACCTCACAGAAAAAGTGGAGCACCGCCTCTTTGTCCTTTTAACAGCAAAGTGCTCATTTGCATCCTTCAACATGACACAGTGCTCAGAGATAACCAGCTCAGCTACCAAAGGCAAACTGGTGTCTCTTATTTTAGCTTTTCCATAATGCTGCAGAATGGTATTCCAATCACTGGCTGTTACGATACAGTGCCAGTTTTAAGAAGAACTGGAATTAAATGGCTTACTTGTTCCTCTTTGCCAAAGTCAGAGCTGAAAAAATGGGGAGGGTAATTTCTGCAAAGTATCAGGTTTCAAAGGTTATCTGAAATAGGCAGAAGCTTTTTAAAAAAAAAGAAAAAAGGGGGAGGGGGAAGAAAACATTGGAAGACAAAAATGAAAAGGGGGAAAAAGAGGTATGGAAGAAAAAATAGGTAAGAAAATAAGGAAAAGGAGAGAGGAAAAAGGGAGAAAAAGAGAAGGGAGGGGGAAAACCACACCTAAAAATATCTTCAGTTTTTTCCCAGGGTACCCTACAAGTTTTTGTTTATCTGAGCAAGCCACAAACTTAAGCCTTTGTATCTGCATGCCAATTTCTGCCCAGTTACTGTGAATCCAGGCTCCCTATGAATCAGCGTTAGCACAGGGCTTGCCCAAACAGTGTTCTGCTCTGAAATTATGCCTCATGTTGGAAGTTCCCCACCTCAGTTCAAAGTCCTGCTTTCCCTACTCCTGTCTAGTGTCTTTTCTGAAATTTTTACACCACTTTGGGCAATTCTATCCCACTCCCTTTGTTTCTCTGGTGACTGGGAGCTCTGGAGAGTGGGCAACACAAGTCCTTGTCCAGGCTGAGATAAAGGCTGTGCTAGTCACAGCTGTCTTTAAATTCACTGCTGGTTTTACTAGAGACAAAAACAGGGGCTGCAGAACCTCAAAATAATGTCAGCCGAAACCTAAAGTTGTTTAAAGAAGAAAGAGAGCCATTAGACATGGACAGACTCCCCTTTTGCAGAATAGCTGGCTGTTAAATTTAAGCACTTACTTTTTAGTATCCACTCTTAGCTGATTGTTATCTGACACTGGAAAACTGAGTTTAAAAACACAGGTATTTCAGGAGACCTGCAAATCACCATTTTCTTTTTTAAATAAGGCCTTACAATTTGTAAAGAAAATTATCTCTTTGAGGAGGTATATAAAAAACCCTCTGGTTTTACTAGAGCTACAGGCAGCTGTGAATAATTTCTTTACAAAGTAACTGAAACCAAAACCTGTTTTGTTGCAACTGGCATCTCATCAACTCACAATCCTCACAGATTAACACTATGAAGTTCAGTTTCCAGCTAACTACTCCTGTGTATTTCTTTGTAACAGCAGAAACGACCACCAAAGAAGCCACCTGTGTTTGTGCAGGACTGCTAGAGCTTCACAAAATGTACTAGGCAAATGGTACCAGACTTCAAAATGAGCTGGTTATTAAGTACCATTATTGATCTATGAAAATGCACACTTCCATGCTCCCTATTCATACTGCGGCACAGGACATCTAAATGCAAATTTTCTGTCCCTGCTCTCTCATCCTCTCCCCTCAAAACTGTCCCAGTGCAGCCACTTCCCTGATCCCATGACGACAATTCCAGAACAGGTGAACCATAAAATGGCAGACTTTGATTAACTGTGGTTTTCAATTAAAAAACTCACCAAACATGACAAAGTTTAAAAAAATTATAACAAGAATTTTAAAAAAACATTTTCAGGAACTACATAATCTGATTAGTTCCTCCTTCCTGTGCACCTTATATCCATAACTAGCCACATTAATAAGATACAAAGTGTAGCAATTGTACATTCTGACAAGTTGGCCTAGAGTTCTTCTGCACAAAATATTATCCCCTCTATTTTTCAGAGAAAAAATATTTCAATATTCCCTTTAGAGACAAAACTTCACTCAAAGCCAAATGTTCCAATTAATTTTGTTAATCACCCTTTACTACACGACAGTTAATAATTTAAAAACCCATAAGACTGGCAACAAACTGACCATAAAATTACCATTGCAGTTCTTCCAGGTAAAAGTGCTTTTAAAGATGAGAGTGATAAGGCGTGTCTACCTATTCATTAAAAAAAAAAAAATTACAGCATGAGCATTAATACAGCTAAAAAAGCTGATTGCTGTCCATGTCTCAGTAGGGTTTCATGTGCAACAGATTCTGTTCTTAAGTTTTCTCCAGGTTATAATTTATATGACAGGTCAATTACCAACAGATGATAGCTGTGCTATTGAAGGGCTGAAGCTACATCCTATAGATGAAAAAACCTACCAGTGCACACTGCTCTGCAGATAGATCCCTAAAAACTGATTGCTTCAGTTTCATGAGGCCTACTGCTAATTTCTGTTAATCTAGGAGAAAAGAGAGGCACAGTGGATAGCAGTCACTAAATAGTACTGAAAAATGAGTAACTTTAAAAAACCTAAATCCTTCATATTAAGCAGTCATCGCTCAGTAATGTTTAGTCATAAATTATGGTGGCTTCAGTTTTGTTCTGCTGTGAACTTCAGTCATAAATATTTTAATGTGGAATTAGCACAGTCTTTATGATGTCTGATCCTCTCTCAAAGGCATAACGTGGAAGCGACTGAAAAGACTGGTACTAACTTCAAAGAGCAAAACAACGCATTTCACTGTTGAGAGCAAACAAAATCAAGAAGGAAACTTCAAAGAAGGGAGAAAAGAAAAAAAGCAGCTGAAAAACAGAGTAGGTGGGAAAATTGAGCTATGATTAGCCCCATTTCAGAGGCAGCCTAAAGCAAGCTATACTTGAACTAGGGTCGCTTCCACACTGCAGTCTTGCAGTTCAACTGGGCAGCTGTGGCTACAGCCAGTGCTTGTCTGCAGTGGGCAGGGAGGTAACAGGGGCCTCCCTCCCCAGTGTCCTCTCCTCTCCTGTGGGGTGCCTTCACACCCCTGGACCCCAAATTCTGCCCCACTACAGTCAGGCTGGATAGCTTCCTGCCAGAGACCAGGGGCTGAGCTACCAGTGTTGACTGCCTTGTCCTGAGCAGGAGCTTTCCAGCCACAATGCTGGTCCTGGCTCATGCTGCATTGATCCCCTTTCCCTTCTAAGGAAATCCACAGCATGCACAGGATGAAGACTGTGAAACTGATAATTAGTTATCATCTCCTTCACAGCAATCATCTCTGCAAAGTGGCAGCTCTCAATTTCTAAGGACTTTGCCTTTAAAGAAAACCAGATTTCTTGAACTATAATGTATGATGGGAACAATACTGTACTTGTCTGACTCCAAAGTATCCCAGAAACTCTTGGACACCATCGGTTACAAGGATTAAATATTTTCAGTTTCTGGCAGCAATTTGAAAACCCTTCTCAAGTGACCAGCAACAACAACCAAAAAGAAAAAGAAAAAGAAGGTTAACAAGGGCATTCACAAAAGTGGAGTTTCACAATTACTCATGCATGTAAAAATTCACACACAATATATTAGAGTGAATATGGAATCACAAAAATGACGCTATGAAATTCACACAGATGCATTAAGTGGTGCTTAAGTAACACACTGGGGAAATGCCAGTTGTAGTGTGAATAATTAATATGAACAGCAAGTTGGCAAGAGGTCTCAACATAAAATACTGTCTGAGTACCAAAAACCTTCTTGAATAATAACCTAACTTATTTGTATGGTCACAGTCTGTTCACAGATAATTCACTACTATGAAAAAAATACTGAGAACAGCTCATGTCAATTTACTCTGTGAACTGTTCCTCATGTCAAGTTAATGCTGAGTTCTTGTTTTGCTTTTGGTAGTAAAAGATTGTATCAGAGCATGTCTTTGGAAATAATGTCAAAAGTATGAGTGAAACCAGCAAGCTGTCTCCATCCCTGGAGACAGTCCAGGTGTGGAGCTAGGGGCTGAAAGAAAACTTCTCTCTGTAAAGCATCTACCCCACCTTTGAGATTTTTTGAAGTGCAAAAGCACTTCAAATACATATACAGAGTGAGGGGTTGTTTTTAAAAAATGTGACAGATTTTTGAGCTTTCCTCTTGAGAATTGGTTGTTCTTTAGGGCTACCTTTTCTAAGAAAATTTACAAAACCCCCCCTGTATTTTAGGTGTGAATCATTACTAGAGTTACTCAGAGTATGCTGAGTATACTTACACCAGTAAGCCATGCTAGCATGCACATTTTAATTTATAACTGTATACCCTCGGAACGTTAAAAGCAGCATCTACTCAAGCTGCATATTCCTACTTGTTGCCATATGTGTTTACTTAGGAATGTATCACATGTTAATTAAAAGCAAACAAAACCTATGAAGAACAAAGAAAAACCTTGTTGGTTCTCTGAGCAGGACTCTGCCTTAATCATTGTTGATGGATGAAACTCTTTACCATTGGGAAGAGTGCACCTGGGATTGCAAGCCACCTACTAACAATATTAATGCCATTTTGTCTGTCTTGTATAGAATTAACAGGATTCAATACCACTATTCAATTTGCTCCCTGCTGCTTTTTGTCATTTAACTTTCTTCCTGCATTAGTCACAGCCATCTTGATACAAAGACACAGGGATGTCTTTGCACCAAGAGAGTGCAGAGCGGCACAGAGGTGGTTTCATTGCCAACCTGTGAGGGTGATATCATCATCTTCTATGATTTGCTCTTCTGCAACATCCAGAGAGTTCTCAGTGATCATGTCACTAGGTTCATCCACGCAGGTTAAGCCAGAGTAGTTATGTAGGAGTTCTGCACTAGGAACATGCTCCACGATGACAGCAGGGAAAATAGATGGATCACCAAGCTAGGGGGTGGAGAAAAAAAAAACAAACAAAATATTAGTTAGACTGCCTCCAATCTAGCCACTTAATGACTAATATTTCAACAGACCTGTTCTAAACCACCTGGATATCAAACTGTCAGGAAGGAATACTAAAGATGGTTTTTAGCACCTGAAAGCAAATAGCAGCAGTGTCTCACCAGGAGCCAGAGGCTGAATATTGCTGTAGTATCTACTGTACTGATTGTACTTCAGTACATAACACCAGACTTGCATGACAGAGTTTTGCAGCGTTAAAGTTAACAATACAGAGGAGTGGCACAGCACAGTAAGTGCTAAACTTTGCTGGCAATAATACTGGGTGAGCAACTTGCTGCAAACACCTTCACCTTTTGCTGAGAGTGAAGGAGTCCTGTAGCTGTGAGGACTGGACAAAGCACTCACAGGCAACAAATTCCCTATGAGACATTATCTGAAAATCACCATTTTAGGGGACACTTGTTACAGAAGAAAGGGGTGTAACATGTTGATGTAAGTGCTGTGATACATTCCCTTTCTAATTCTTATGGCTTTAGTAATTTGATATTGCTCACACCACACCCCCTCACCATTCTCCTTCCAAAGTCTGCATTTAGACATCGTCCTTTGGTGTTGATAGTCATTTCTCATCAGATACAGAGGAAAAGATGCAGCTGGGAAACAGAAATCAAACTGAGTAGCAATAATAACAAGTAACACACTCTCTGAAAAGGCAACCACTCAACAGGAAGAGGTTTTCAGCAAATAACATCTACCACAGACGCTGTATTTTTCAAAGTGAGTATTTTAAAACGTGCTTTGCAGGAAGACAGTTATAGCAGATTGATAGCAGAACAGGTTCAAAGAAAGTCTAGTGTAACTCTAAGGTTCTCTGACTACAAAAATAAAACACATTATGAATGTGTCAAGCTTAAAAACAAGAAAAAAACCTAAAAAGTGACTAAAACATATTTCTGAGAAAACCAATATATGTACATTTGGTCCCACCCTCCACAGAAGAGTACAGATAGGTATTTATCATGGAATCATAGAATGGCCTGGGTTGGAAGAAACTTTAAAATCATCTAGCTCCAATCCCCCTGCCATGGACAGGGACACCTTCCACTACATCAGATTGCTCAAAGTTCCACGAGCCTAGCCTTAAACACTTCCAGGGATGGGAATCTGCAACTTTTCTGGGCAACCTGTTCCAGTACCCTTCCACCCTCACAGTAAAGAACTTTTTCTCAATATCTAATCTAAACCCACAGTCTTTTAAGTTTGAAGTAATTCTCAACTGTACTGTCACCATACATGCTTGTAAATAGACTCAATCTTTCCTGTAGGTTCCCTTCAGGTATTGGAAGGAAGATCAAGTAGTTTTTTTAACCACACAAGTTAAAAACCCAAGGGAAAAAAAAACAAGTGTATGATTATGCCCTTGTTTAATTCCTGCTTAAGAATTACTCATCTCTCACTCCTGCCATTGCACACACCGTCACAGACAGAAAATGGTATCAGAGCTATCTGCTCAACCCAGACAGCAGCTATGGGAGCAAGCCTCCCCTAGGGAAGAGTCTGGACCATAAGTACTGAACATAGAAAGTGCAATTACAAGTTTTAAAAGGCAGTAATTACCACTTTAAATTGCTCTGTGTTTTGTAAAACATGTCTCAGCAAAAACTGTGGTAAAGGGCAATCAGGAAAAAAAGAAGAACTAAAAACCAAAAATAGTATTTTAATGGGCTGCTATCATGGACAGTCTCCTAAACAAAAAAAATTCAACAAAACCAAAATTTTAAAAGACCCAACAAATAATGACCTATTCTACAAAACACGTTTCAAAAGAGAGCAATATGGTAGAAGATCAATAAAAATGAACAAAGTGCAGACCAGTTAAAGCCCTCTTGTGCAATCTTATCACCAGATGACAGGTGTATATCAAGTCACGCAATGGGACAGCTGTTACCCCACACCTTTGTGGGCACCTCTAACCAATGCTGCATCGTGCTGGAGCTGAGAAACCTGAAATCATTGATGGCCAAGAGGTCCCTACTGTTCTTCAGAAAAAGTCATGTTCACATTTTGCATCCTATTTGTTTACTGACCCTAACATCCTAGTTGGTTCCAGGCAAGAATAAATAAATAGATTTTATTAGGTATAAGCCACATCAACAAAAAAGGATAAAGCACTGTTAAGAGAGAAGAAAAATAAAAAACTACATGCATTAAAAAGAAGTTTCATTTTCAACAATACATTCCATAAGCTACAAGGTAGATGGTCCATTACAGCCTCATTCCTGAGATACAATTATGTTGTACAAATAGCTTAAATACCTCAGTTTCAGTAATAGGGCACGATACATAACTTTTGGGATTTAAGTTACAGACAGCTGTGGTGCAGGCACTTGGACATGAGCTAAAAACCCCAAGTTTCCTTCCTAGCCAACAGACAGAAAACGGCATTTCTAGGGCACAATTTCCCTGCTCAGTTTTAGGCTCCTGGGCTACGATAGGATGTCATGCTCTAAAAACACCTATTTGTCTGCATTGACTGTGAAATGGTGGAGGCATTGAGGTGCTTGTTTCTGGTGTAGGCAGCTGTGTCCCACACTCTCATCAGCAAGTGGCCAGCTTCCTCCTCCCAGCCACGTCTGCGCAGCGAGGCGCGCTCCTCGCCCCCTTCCGCCCTTGCACCGCCTCAATAGCTGCAGTGTCTGCAGCCACAGATCGAGTTGCCTGTGCTCAAGATAAGCCTTACATTAGCTTCTGCTGGAGAAGAAAATCACTTTGCCTAAGCTCTGTCCTTCTCTAATGACTGATGCTCACACCACTGGCTTGGCCTCTGAGAAGATGAGTTGTAGAAAAATGTTTCCGAATAATAAACAAAACATATAAAATCAACTGATTGCCTCGTGTTTTCAGATCAGTTTTTCAAAGCTCTATTTAGATTACACCCTCTTCACTTTGCTATGAAACCTAGTTACAAAATCCCAAACATCCACATGTTTCTAAAATATGCTTCACTACTGACCAGGATGTTTCCTGTGGTACTGAACTGTAGTGCTTCACGCAGTTCCGAAGTACTTGGCTTGATACCATGATCAGATCTGAACTGCTCTGCCAGATTAAACTGGTTTTGGCCATATCTAGAAACTGTCATCATACACACAACACTCTGATATGGTTGCTATGTCTGTCTGCAGGCAGAGAAACCCCCAGGGCAATACCTCACCACCTGAACTTGGTGCCCGACTACCAAGGAAGCTGCTGGCACACTATACTTCCAAAAGGCTGGAGATGAACAGAAAAGCATTCACTCATGGTAAGACATGTAAATGTGCTTTTCTTTAACTTGATCACAGTTTTGAACTGGAAGAAGCAAATTTCACTTCTTGTGGTGTATTATTTTAAAACTATTGTTATAACTGGCTCTAACTCAGTCCCTACAGTGGTACAATGTATGGACTTTCCTTCCTGCTATGGTTGTGAAAATTTTAATATGCTCCTATTAAGAAAAGCATTCACACAACTGCAAACCAATTTAATTTGAAATGCATTTTTGTGGAAGTGGCCATTGCTTTTTTATACAGTACTTGCAATTAGTTATGACTTCATTAACAAGTCTTTCATTCAGTTTTAAAAGCTAATACTAATGTACACAGATGTACCCGTGACTTTTGTGAGGTAATGTTCCTGATTTCACTGAAGGCATCTGAATCCCAGTTGAGAGCCAATCTAAACCTTCCTCTAGCTTTGTTGTTTTCTAGGACAGAAAAATAACTGTGCACATTTGGAACTGCAAAAGAGCCCTTTTTTACTATGGCTCCCTTTGAATCTAGTGTGTAATGAGAACTACACACAGGGAAAACATTAAATTAAGAACTACAAGGTAGTGATTCAATTAACACAAATTAAATTACCTCTCTAATAGCAAGGTTGCAAAATAATTTATTTCTAATACAAACATGCTTCTATATGCCCTAGCAAAAAGGAAGAGTGCAAACTATCCCAAAGGTTTTTTTAAGTCCCAAATTAAAGTGTCAGCAATGATTTTCAAGAAATCAATACAGACATCCATAGAAGAACAATTTGTATATTTTTAAATTTCTCCTACTTCTTCTACTTCATGTTTCTTATAGAAAATATAGATAAAATATGACACCCTAGCTCCAGCAAAGCTTTGACTTGGCTTCAACCCATTTCCCATGTCTGCTGGACACATAAAGCAATTGAGCTACTACTAAAATCTTCCCAAATCTTAGACACCAAATCCCCATAGACAGACCTTTACCAATTCAGAGGAATGCAAACTTCATACAGATGAAGTTCATAGAAAGTCCCATGAGTGGGTCCCTGAGAGCAGTGGTTACATTCCACAGTCCCCTGAAAACTGAACCCGCTCCTCCTCCGAGGGCCAAAGGCAGCAATCTTCCTTTCTGCTCTCTAATTCTTTTAGTGTGTTTGACATGCTGACAAGGTGTTTCTCTTTTTCTCTGAAAATTGTCTCATCAACTGTCACCAACTGACAGAAGATCAAAACACCATCCGGGCCACGGAAATGGAAAATAAGGAAGGGGATTTCTTCTGCTTTGGAGGTACTGTCTTCTCATACTGTAAGTCTTTAAGGATGACAACTTGTCCCAGGAATAAGGCAACCAGCTTTTAACTGGTGTGGAATAAATTCTGTGTGAGTGAGTATGGGTGGGAAGAAATATATGCAATAGATAGTAGAAGGGAAAAGCTACATGGGGGAAAAAAATGGAGAAAGCAACCTCCGGGAAAAAAACAACTGTCTTTTTAACCAAAAAACAACATTCAGACTCGCAATACAGATGGTCCAAACAAACAATCTCCCCCCCAAATGAACAAATAAAACACCCCAAAACCCTAAACAGAACTAGGGGAAGTGACCTTAGTGACTAGAAAACAGCTTTTGAAGTTTTCCTTTGCTGACAGTCCCTGTGCAGAGGCAGAGGTAGCTTCTCAACTTCAAAGGTGTTCCCACTGCCAGCATCTGAGAAGGGACCAAATTGCACAGAGGGATGTTGCAGGCAGACACACAATGCTCATGTTTCTGGGAAGACAACCTCATTACAGATTTCATATCTTCCTCAAAATCATCATAAAACTGCAAATGGGTAAAGGGAAGGAACCTTCTGCAGGAGCTAGAAACAGCCAAAAAAATGTAGACTTTCACATTGACCAGGTGGCCTAATCTTTCTGAAAGCCCATGGAGATATCAGGGAACATGGAAGAGCAAAGGTAGGCACGAGATGATGGTGCAGAAATCATGACTCAACCTAAAGTATCAGACCCCTCTTTATCAGAAGAAAGCAAGAGAGAAACAAATGCCAGAGGTACAGAAGGTGTCTTCAGGAACAGGTTACTACAAGCATCAGAGCCACTGGAGAGAGCCCAGCCCGACATAGAGCAGTCATGCTGGGCACCATGTTAGCAAATTAATGGCTGTAATGATTCAACTTCTCCCTGGCACTATTTAAAGTGGCTGCTATGGATCTAGCCACTATGCCTGCTTTGATTCAGCTTTTTAAATTAAGAATGTCCTGATCAAAAAGTTCACAAAGCACTAAATAAAAAGGCATTGAGAGAAGAAGCTGCAGATAGGAAAAGAAGCAGGTTTAGGCAGTGGCATTGACTCAGCCAAAGCCTGCAGGAACTCCTACCCAGTTTTGTTTGTGCCATCTCCCTCTGTCTCACAACAATAACAAAAGAACCCAAACAAACAAAACAAAAGCAGAGAAAAAAGGAAAAAAAAAAAGGGCAAACTCTCTATTTTAACCAGATCTCTGACATGTAGCAGAAGTCAGACAAGTTATCAGTAGCCTTAGCCCAAGCTACTTGTTCCCTTCTGAAAATTATAAGGATATTTTCACTTCATTTCTTCCTCACCACAGATCTACTATGTGATAAATGAAACTTCCAAGTATAATGAAAAATTTAAAAATCATTCTTTTTTAAACTGCAAAAAATAAAGCTGATAAGAGCAAGTCCTTCCCATTCACACTGGTCCATGTGACTGAGCCCCTTCCACTGGTATCTGTCACTGAATGCTTACATTTGCAAACTGTTCATAATTTATGGTTGTTTAACCAAGACTTAAAAAAAAAAAAAAAAAGGCAAAATAGCCATGAATTATGACTTCCCTAAAATACTGAGCATAGTTGCCACTTAGACCCTGAACCTCTCCCCACAGCTGTCCCATGTCCCAAGAGCTCTTGGCACAAGAGAGCTCCAGGCAAAGCTTTGACAAGAAGAAAAGCACCAAAGTTGTTAAAATTCCAGCTTGTGGGGGCATTGCAAAAATAACGATCGCAAGATGAGTTATATGACATCATTTGTATACAATGAAGATCCAAAAAAATGCTTTTGCCCAACACAGAGCACTTACAGAGCTAACATTTTTGCAAAGTACACAAATTCTGTTGTCCATCCCTAAATACAACTAATCTAAGAACTTAGAAACTTTAGGAGTAGCAATAGCTCCTGTGTAGTAAGAAGCAGATCAACCAAGTATGAGCAAGAAGCAGTCTTTTTGGGTTAAGGTACTACAAGCTCTCAGCCAAAGGAAACTTTGTTTCAGCTTCCCAGGTCTTCACCTGTGCAGGAGGTCTCTTCTACAACTGGGCATTTAAGATTTACCTTCAGGCAGCCAGCTAGCCGGCTGTCTCTGTCTTTGATATCTGAACTCAGTGAACCCAGTGATTTAAAAGAACCTCACATCTGACTGGAGCAATGGACTTCCTTGCTATGCACCCTCTATCTCCAGCCTTTCATATCTTTGATTTCACCACCTTTAGGGTATGCTACAAAACATCTTTGCTTAGAATTCATGCAGAGCAGAATTTAGTAGGGTTATGAGATAAACATTAAGGTTGAGTTTGTTCTGAAGCTGGAGAAAGCTCTGTTTAGAGAGGTTTTACTGTCCTGTTGAGCACTCCTTAGTATTTTTAAAGTTTCTCAGGTGAGCATCTGAAGAAATTGCAAGAAGCAGAATGCATGGCTAAACGAAACAAAGCCCTATCTGCTCGCACTATCCCTCCCAGGAACCACACTGAAGTAGCCCTCCCTACCTCAATTCTCCCATTTCCTATTGGCTTGTAAAGTAAAGCCAGCAATGAACAACCAGCAGAGCTAATAAGTAAGGCTCATTTTTGACTACACTTGTGCAATTCCCATATCTAAATCCCCAGGCTACCACAAGCTCTGGAAAAATACAGGGAAGGAAGTTACATTACTAATTCCACCCAAAACTGAGTTAGCACTTTAGACAGACAACACTCAGTTCATTGAAATGATCGCATGACTTTGACAGCAGAAACAGGCCAGTGACCCAGACAGATATTAGGCCATACAGAAAACCAGAGACAAGATCATAAAACCAAAAGCAGGGTATTTTTTTAAGAGAGGAGAATAAATGCTTTTTACATTAACAAAAAAGGAACAGTTTGTCATGGCACTTAGCCTTTTAAAAAGGCTCAGACACCTAATTTCTTGTTAATAAATGCAAGCTCTAATATTAACCACCAGCTATAGAGAAGCTGCATTATTTTTACAATAGGAATCCTACACTGAAGCTTCAGGACTCACAGGATGTGGTTTAAATAACCACCACCTAACTGAGAGTCTGTGTAGGTAGAAACAGACATATTTTCCCTGTAGTGTAAAAGAAACCAGTGTAAATTACTTTCAAGCTTATTTCTGAATAACCATCGTGCAGTAACACAATTTAGAAACCAACCTGTAAATAACAGTGAGCAGGTATGTACTGCCCCTTCCAGTCATCTGCAGGATGACCATTACTTCTACTCAGAATTTTATCCTAGTACACTAGAGAAGTTGAAACTACTACAAAATACCATCATTTTGAGAATTCTATATCACATCTGCATGGATTCTACTGGCACAAATCAGCAAAACAGAAAAAATAGTTTTGGAGGAAGATATCTCTGCAATACTGCAGAGGTTATAACATTTCAGCCAATTTCTGTTCCGCGCATGCAAGTTACGGGAAGAAACAGGAAGCTTTTGAAACAGCACAAAGATCTGCTGCAACAATAATGACCTCAATGTTTCCTTTTTGTGTTTTACACCACATTTTTTCCTCATGTTTCACAATACTCCTAACACCAACTTGTACAAATATGGTTTCTTAGACCATCCCATACCTGCTGCTCATCCTCCATGACGTTGCTGGCAAATTCAAACACAAGCTCATTCTGCTGTACAACTGCTGCCATAATAACGCATTCCCAGGTCTCAGCTCCACATACAAAGAAAAATGGTCTTGAATGTGAAAGAACAGAGAGCTTCACTGAGGTCCAGCTGGGCAGAAAGGCAGGTTCACAAAATGGATCAAGTATCAATGTTTGTGTTTCTTAGATCATCAGTGTTCCTGGGTTCTTCTCTTCTCAAAGCAAAACAAACCAAGGCAAATCCTTTCCTGAGTTGTTCTTCCCGCCTCGATAGCCTTTACCACTGTGGAGGGAAAAATAAAAAAATTATCATTAAAAAATTGTTACTTTAGCGATGTGAAATTGTAGCAGTGGCAGTAAAGCTTTCTATGTATTAAAACTATTCTATCTACATCCAAGGAAGTCAGACACTTTTGTGTCTCCAAAGGTATTACTTTTACTGATTAATGTATAAGAACTTTCATTACCTGAAACAGAACTGTTTCAGGAAATATGACATCAGTTTCAAAGTGTTTCATATTAAAAGCATGAGTCTAAGGAAATCTTACAAAAGTTAAAGAGAAAATCCATATTTTCATTGGATTCAGATACGCAGTTTTCACATTCATCAGTACCTCTCATCTTCACAGTTTATTCAAAGTAAAAATACAAAACTCAGACAGACCTACTCAGCTGTAGGATATCCCAAGTATATCACATTTCTTCTTCACACACAGTTGAAATTTAACAAAATTGTTGTTTTGCAAGTAAAATGTTCTGGATCTTGAATCCCCATGTAAAAATGATGAAACCAATCAATAAATTCTTTGTACAATCCAGAGAGTGCCCACGTTCCTACATGAAGCAGATCTTCAGCTTCATATTAAAAATGTACTTTGAATGTACCCTTATCTCTACCAGAGGCTCTCAAGCAGCCGGAAGGAAACAGCACTGGCCACATCATGGCAAATTAGAACTGTCAAAAAAACTGCACAGTACAAAGAAAAAAAATCCCCAACTACTGAACATAAACAGCTTTGGTGAAAGGATGCCTGCCCACAGCTCCCATGCTGTTACTTACTCATCTGTGCCAAAGGTAAACTCAGTTAGGGTGAGCTGACCAAGAGGCTGCTGCACCACCTCTGGGGAAAGAGGCAAGCACAAGAAGAACTCTTTGTATACAACTCAGGTGACCCAGACATTAACTTAAAAATCTACCATTTCAAATAATAATGGGAGCAGGTGTCTAAAATTAGGAACCTAAGGAGTGTGTTGGTGCCTAGGAATTTAAATCAATATATTTTAAAAGAAGAAAAATGTGCAGTTCCTAGTGTTTTGAGCAAAATTCTTTAAACTGCCTTGGATTAAGAGCTGCTGTGACGAAAGAATAAGGGGCAGAGGTGTAAGATGCACCCATCCAGAGTGAGACCCACAGGAGAATCAATGTCAGTGCCTTTGGTGATGATTAGCATCTGCCTTTGTACAGGAGGTTTAACTTTGCCTTATTTTTGCAGTAGGGTCAAACTCAAAAAAATGAAGATCATCTTCTTCTCCTCACTGCCAAGCAATTTAATTAGGGAGGAACATGTCAGAGACTTGTACTCCCTCACTCTAGGAAATGTAACAGCTGCATTTCCTATATAGGTTGTGGTATTCCCAAATTCCTAAGTAGTGATGGCAGAGCATTTAGGCATTTAAGTCACTAGATCCTACCCTTCTAAGAAATCAGGAAACTCAAGATTATGCAAAAAGGAGAACCTCCCCAACTTCCAAAGTGTGCTCTAATTAGCTGTTAAAAGGTTTGTAAGAGTAGTCACAACCTTAACAACAGAATATTTGCTTTAATGAGAGTTGCATGCATGAACAGAGAAGGAAGTGCTGTAGGAACCATTTCAACCTCAGCACTTGCCACTTTAGTGGTTGACTTGAATAGTTAACAAGGCTTTCTCCATACTTTGGCAGAGTTGTGGCACTGAAAGCATTACATGCAACCATATAATCCTGGGTGACTTCCCAAAATCTAATTATTTGGCCTTGCCTTTTGGAAGATGCCATTAGGGAGTAGACACACATTGCCAGCATAGTGGGAGTAAGCACAGCTTGGCCCATCCTAGACTCCTATCATCCTGTATACCAGTCTGAAAATGAAGTATATAACTATATAATATATAGTTTAATATTGCCTACAGACACCGATTCTAGTGGGTCAATCTATGCCAACAGGGATACACCAACTTTTTCAGAAGAGAAGACAGTTATGGAAATTTACATTGACTAAACTTTACATTAAGTAAAAGAAGTACAACTTCTATTTTGGTTCCTGCTTTGGAATAAATTGTAACTGTCCAACAAGATGAAACAATATTTTAAGTCACACCCTCTAATCACTGAAGAGCAACTTCACTGTAAAGGATCACAAGGCAAACAGGGAAATACAAGAACCTCCTCAGCTGTCCAAATTTAAACTTCTGTTTAAATGGAGGTTAAACCAATTGTTCAGAGTCAGAATACTGCAAGGGCTTATAATCACAGCCACTACACTGACTGAAGCCACAAGTATGAACAAAGGCTACAAGTTCTTAAGACCCAGTAACTTTCTAAGGTCAATAACAATTAATACAGTCAATGTAAAATTGGGATACAGGACAGGTTGGAGACACAGGTTACCCAGTAAGGTCTTAAATATAAGGAAAACTGGAGGTCAAGCTACCCTAAAATTTTTAAAAGCTCCCCACATGCACTGGGAGCTGACATTTTCTTCCATTAGTGCCAGGTTATCCATTATTCTGTAAAATATTAATATTTTACAGTAGATACTACAATACCAAAACGTACACTAAATGCATAAGATATAAAAGCTGTGGCAGTAAACTTACTAAAAGCCATAAAGAAATATTTCCTTACTTTTTATTTTAAAAAAGAAACAACAAAACTCTCAATACAAAACTAATTATCCTGACTTAATATCATTTAAGAGACTGCAGCAGCATATTACATTTGATCAACACAAACAATGCTTAAACCAGTGACACTATGCTAACATGAAAGTAATCATCTGATGCCACTGTAGGAATGGTCAGTCAAAAGCTGCTTTATGAGTTCTGCACTGTGGTGATGCAGTGATGTGAGACTGTTCCTTCTCCCCTACACCCTGACCCCAAAACCACCAAGGGCTCTATAAATAAAGACAAATGATACATTCTTTTTACAAAAGAAACGTCTACCACAACATTAGTACCAAATCCAAAGACAAGTGAGTGAACAAGCTTTAGTGAGCTTTTACATCTAACCTTATAAAAGTTAGGGACTCAGACTATTACTGTTTGCAGGATATTTTTCATTACTTCTGTTCAGTGTATAGTAATAGCAAATGATCTATTGGGCAACAACAGCACAGCAGAATAATGCAAAAGTGCTTTCCTTTAATCCATATTACTTTCTCTGCCATATAGAAAACAAGAGCAGCTTTTCACAGAACCCAGCAGAATTCTAAACCAGTTATATTTTCCTTCACATCTATTTTTGTAAACTGTGCTTTCATTATTCCAACTATCACAGGGTCCTGCTGTCTATAGGCTAATACAAACACGACTATTGTTTTTGCTATGTAATGCCATTTATCCCCTGCCTGATTTTACATACATCTGCAAGTAGAAAATAAGTTATTTGCAAACAGCATAAAAAAGTGTAAATTCTATTCACATGCACAGTAAGCTTGACTACATACAAATAATCCTAGGAGAAAGGGAACCCAATATATATTATCATAAAATTTACATGAAATTTTCAGAACTACTACTTACTTACTTCAGGAGGAAGTAAGGTTTTGCTTTCATTTTTACTAATTGTTGTACAAATATATTATAAAAAACAGCATTAAAACACAACAATATAACAAACCTCTTGATTTTGGTTAATCCTTGAAACAGAACTCAAATTATTTCAATACACCTGGAAGCTCCCTCACCCACTGATTTCAACATCTAGGAACAAGCTCCTCAATCAGTCTGTCAAAAAGCACATTCAGTCAATCTAAGCTTTAGTACATGCTACTCTGGTATCCCAGAAGATGCACTGTAGGATTCTGTCCTAAACATCAGCTAGACATCACAGCTTTTCCCCACCACTCTTTACCATTTATACCTTCCAGTCAGTCCTAGCCCGCTGAGGACTAACTGAGCCAGTTCAACAAAGCTTCTAAGAAATACCTCCAGAACCAACACTTTTGGTCCCAATGGTGAAGCTGCAATATTGCAACTAGGATCCATGCTGGAATCCACAAATTCTCCTTCAAATCCTGATAATATGAGCCACTACCTTATCATTCAAGCACTGTAATGCAGAACACCAAAATAAGACAATGACACCACACTGGAGCAGGTGTAGCAGGCATCAAAGTACCAGGCAGAAACCCAAAAATTTGCTAAAGGTCAGCTATGAGCTTAGAAGACTCAAGTCTTGCTACTGAGAGCATCCCAGATGAGCTGAAAGATGCCTCCAGGAAGCTACTGGATCCAGTCCCATTTAGGGTTACTAAAGATTACTGTAATCATCCTGCACTGCCTTTCTCATGAAATTAATAAGATCATTCATACATTTAAATCAAGAACCAACTTAGTGCTTTAAGATTCAAGTGCAGATCTGAATTCTGAGTTACTGATGAAACAGTTCCACTCATTCAACACAGGGACAAATCACTTGAGACTGGACTTTCCCATTGATTTCCTAAGACAGTCTGTAGCATTAGCATTAGCCTAGAAACGTCAAAGTTGTGACTTAACAGAAATGTAAAGCTGAACCCCTCCCTCCTCTACGCCATCTTGGATACAGAGAAAAGAGGGGACGGAATGAGAGGAAAGGGAGGATTAAAGAAATCTGAACAGAAGGACTGAGAATCATCTCAGGTGAGGTCAAACACATGGATGGTAACCACACCATTTCACTCAAATTTCTTACTCCATTCTACCAGCAGAGGTTAAGGATAGTTCAACCCAGAGTCAGTTCACCTTCTGAAGAGTCAACAAGTATCATCGTAGAGTCAGGTTTTCTTAAAAAGGAGGGCATAGCTGAATAATATTGCAGTTCTCTTAATGCAGAAATCCCAGATCAACAATGATCTTTATATTTAGTTCACACCAAGCACAAATGTTAACAGTTTAGTATTCTGTGTCATGGACTAATAGTTCTTCATGGACTAATAGTTCTTCATAGTTCTTCATGGACTAATTTTTACTATCCAGTAATATCACAAATTTGCACAGGACAAGGGATTTGAAACATGTGCTTAGACTCAGGGCATCTGCA